AAACATCGAGAGAAGAAGTCGTGTAAATAAGATCCGCACATCCGCAGCTTTTGTTTGCGCTGCCTTGTCGGCTCAACCTGCTCCCCTCCTACGCCGCTGGTTTGAGTCCTCGAATGAACCGTAGGAGGAGACGTCTGCATGCAATAAGCCACTTAACTGCTGAGGTTCCTGCAGACGGAGTCGGCCTCATGTCTGCACCGCGCAGCGTCGCTGACAGCTCTTGAGTAATAGTAATATTGTGCTTTGATGATAGTTGTTGGGCTGCGGTTTCTTTTTCAGTGTTTAACGAGCAGCAGCTTCACATCACGTCCTTCACGTACCTGTGGCTGGGAACAACAGATGTCTAACAGAACTTGGGTGGTGATGACTCATGCTGCCGTGTGTCTCTGCGCAGACGGCGGCCTCATGTCCAAGGACCCCCTGCCGGCCCAGAGCACCACGCTGGAGGCCCTGCTACGAGGGGAAGGTCTGGACAAAAGGAACAACTCCAAGAACGACGAGGAGAGCCTGCTGGAGATCCAGGTGGGAAGCCGTCTGAAGCGCCGCATCCGGGCGCCGACTTTCAGAGTGTGTGCGAGTGGAGTGTTGTGCCCTAACTGGTTGTCAAGGCAACTCGACCCGCGGGGGCCCGTTACCGCGAGGCGTCTTTGGACCGCTTCGCTTTGAGTTCCCGTTCACTGGTTATTTATACGTGCGAGTTCTGCTGATTCGTTCGGTGGCGCCGCGCGTACGAGTTGTGCTCTTTGTTGGTCGTCACGTCTCAACTGGAGTCCGAGGAAGGACGGTCAGTGGGACCGAGGCAGACTGTTCATTTTAAATAGATAAATAGTCTCTGGTCTTTGCTTCAGACACACGGGGGTGGAGAACAATTCATCTGTCCCCTCCGTTGTTGCTGACCGTCCTGTCTCTGTGTCTCCGCCTCAGAGGGTTCTGGAGGCCGACGCCGCAGAAGATGCGTTCCACGACGACGACGACGACTTTGAGGTGAACACCCCTAAGAGGAGACATCGGGGCAAAGGAAGAGTAAGTCTCCCCTTCACACAAGCTGCAAGGTTTAAGGAGAACTGCTTCATCGGTGTGTTGAACGGTTCTGGGTTCTTTATGGGGCATCTGTACTAAAACATAGATTGCCCCCAAAATTAGACATTTTTTTTGTTTATTAAATGATGTGCATGCTGAAAATATGGGTAGTGATTTAAATAAATAAATAATTATTATTCAGTGGGTTTTGTTTTCTGTTTGTTTCATCGCTGTTTTACTTTCCATTTTGTTTCCCCTGTTTTTATGCTACTTCTATGTGCATCTCCCCTTATAGGAAAACAGTTTTGTTTCATTATTGGTTTGACCCTTTTTCCTCAGGGTCGGGGATCGGGCCGCAGGAAGGCGGACATGGATGATGACAAGCCATACGTCTGTGACAGTAAGTAGAGGTCAATTCTCAGCTGTGTTCTTGTGTGAAGTATTTGTCATGTGCAGTGCTCAATGTACAATGTCAGTTTCAGTATAAGTTGATTGAGCATTTTTAGTAAAATTATGTTTTATTTAAACTGTATTAAGGCTCCCTATCATTTTGTAATGCCTTAAAATAAAAATTCTCACGCACTTCAATTTGGTCCCCTTTGTCACAGTTAAAAGGACATTTTCTTTCCACTAGATCTGTTTTGAGGACGTTCTTCAATAAACCTTTTTAATGCTTTGACGTTTTGGAGATTTTAACAACAGGCGATTCAATCATATCCTAGGATTTGCTTTACTATGACGTTGAAACAAGACATTTTTTTCTACAGACCATCATTACTTTTATTATTGAGATACATTCAGCATTTTTTCCTTAACGACCTTTTCTAAAAGAGCACCCGGACTTCTTACTTCGCTCTACATTTTTTATGTGTTAATAATATCCACAGTCGCCCCTTTAAAAAGAAAACAGGAACCAGAGGAGGAAGTTGAGCTTGTTGTACTCTCACAGATGTCTGTGGAAACTCCAGGTCGACGGTATTTCTTCTGAAAAGCCTCATTTCACTTACCCTTCACTTTACTTTTTGTTTCAGACAGATACAAACAAAAGCAGAACTCAAAATCTTCGACTTCAGGTACCTTCATTTTGTTTGTTTTTTAATCTCCGTACATTTGTTTCTATTTGTACCTCAGGCTGAAAAGTGCCCGTGTTCATCCGTCTGTTGGATGGGTTAATTAAATGTGTCTCGACCCTGAAGTGAAGGTCGGTGCTGAGCGTCCGCCATCTTTGTTTCAGTCTGCGCGAAGCGCTACAGGAACCGCACGGGACTGAGCTACCACTACACCCACTCGCACCTCGCCGAGGAGGGCCGAGGCGGCGCGAGGAGCTCCGCGGCCTCCAAAGCGCCCGCCGCACAACAGGCGGAGCGACACAAGCGTAAGACGTCGCACCTCGACCACGTCTCGCCCACCAGACGGCTCCGCTCTCATGCTAACGCTAATGCTCCTGGCTGTGGCCATACTTTTATTTATGTTTTTTGTTTTTTTTTTAGGTCAAAGGGGTCCGGGTGGGACCGGCGTTCCCAACAACTACTGTACTAAATGCCAGGGCTCACTAAAGAAAACGGGTAAATCCGGGTCTCCCTTCTCAACCTGCCAATGCAAAGGTGAGTTGTGAGCCGACACGTCGCGGCGCGTTGATGAGTAGACGCGGATGCACGTTGACGTTCCCTGTGCTCTCCCGTTGGCCAGCCGGCCGCGCGGAGGAGAAGGACGACGCGGCCTTCACTGGAGCGGAGGAGCTGTTCGGCACCACCTCGGAGAGCGACACCTCCACCTTCCACGGCTTCGAGGACGACGAGCTGGAGGAGCCGGCGGCAAACGGCAACGGAATATCCAACCGGCACAGATAGAGACAACCGTCTAGATTCAAAGAGACTTTTTTTAATTTTTTTTTTATATGGATTAACCTCTGGCTAAAATCTGCTGCTTCTTTTTTTTTTTATGTTTTTTGTTTGCAGAAAGCACAAAGTGATCATTTCAGGACAGAAGTGTTATTTTATCTACTGAACATTGTTGAATAATTTATGAACATGTTTTATATATAAATATATATATGTATGTGTGTATATATATATATATATATATATATATATATATATGTAAACTTTGAAGGCTATGAACGACTGTCAGTGTTTCTTGACAAGCGTCTCGGCCTCTTAGTGAAGCAAAAGGTGCAGTTGGATTTTTTTTTTTTGTTCCGTCACCGGAGGAGACGAAGCACACATGTTACGAACAAAAAAGAAAGAAAAAAAACACTGGAGGAATTCAAACAATTGACAATTAGGCATAAATTATAAGGTGCGCTTGTGTGACGCTCGGACGTCGTACCGGAGCGACCGGCTGCTTGTGACTGTGACTGCGCTCTCACCCTGGATTACACTTGTACCAAAATGAAGGAACCAATGAGGCGGACGGCCACCGGCCGTGTTTTAAATCTAGTCTTTACAGACAAAGACGGCTAAGTGAATCAAAGGTAAGCTGCAGTCTCACCAGCGTACGTTTCATTTAGGGGGGGGTCTGCTGGTCCAAAATACACTATCTTTAACAAGTCCTGGCTGTGCTGCCATGTGGGGGTGTTGCTCTAATTAGCACAATGCTAAACTAAGGTAGTGCACATGGTAAGTGTTAGCATGCTTATTGTTAGCACTCAGCCCCCTCATGGCTGCAGGCACGGACACAAGTGTGAGTCTGACCCGTGCTGTCTGTTGTGTGCGGTAGGAGCAGCACATGGGCCCAGAGGTGGAGGAGGCCAGAGAAGAAGAGGATTAAACTCTGGAAAGAAACAAATGAGCCATGGCGTCCCTTCTGATTTTGGGTCGAAAAGCGGCCCGACTGAAGCGGATGAACGGAAATTTGCCGGCCGGGCGATTCGACTGAAGCTCCCTCTGCGATGCGTATTGATCCCTCCTGAACATTGGAAATGCGAGTTGATCCAGCTTCGCTTTGCTCCTTGCTGCACCGCGCCGGAGCTCCGCCGAGCAGTTGAGGCCGGACCCTTTTTTGGACCTTCTGTGCATTCGGGGCCCCGCGGTCGAAGGTCGCCCCTCCCTCCCCTGCTCGGCAACTGTGTGATCCGATGTGACGCTAAGACGTCGTTATCCCTCATCACTGTGCCGGCCTGCCGCTGTGACAGCCATGACCCGCCGCCCCGATTGAACCGGCGATCCCCTGACGCCCCCCAGCCATAAACATGGTGCTCGAAACCACCACTATTACACAGAGACCTCTGGACTACTGTATTAACCACCTTCTCTCCCCCTCTGCTCTTGCTCTCTATTTACTGGTCCTCTCAGTAATTTCAGCTCCTTTTTTTTTGCGTCTTTTCTCTGTTGTGTAAAATATTTCTATGTTTTGATCTCTTTAAAGTTTTGAGTAGAACAACTTCTTGGGTTTGTATTGATACCGCTGTCCGGATCAGGTGCACAATAGCCACAACTACTCAGGCGTCTTTCATTTCCTCCGCTGCTGATTGGTCAGCGGCTTACTCCCGATTCATGTGATTTGTATCCAGGGCTTTGGGATGCTTTAGGAAAACATTTGCAATAACCAGCTTCATCTCTGTCCGGTCTCTGCTGATCACACTCGCCATGTAAAGCCTCGGCTCTCCGTTTGGAAATCTTCTGTCTCCGCGGGTTGCGATCGACGGCAGCCGAGAATCCTCTCCCGTTCATTGTTGCTCGAGAGGCAAAACTCTGCTCAGACGCACCGACATTTCCGTTGAGTGCTTTGGACGGCCTGCTTGCTTTATGACATTTAGAAGGTGCTTGCAAATCTACATCAAAAACCACACGTTGCACATAAAGAGGTCTGGTTCCTTCCACGTGCTCATTCAGCGTCGCTACAATGTAAAAACGACAACAACAACAACAAAAAAGCCACTCCGTTTTATGAAGCCAACCATGTTTGCGCGTTCGAACCGTGTTTCTTCGCTTCCCTCAGGGACCCTTCACGCAACACGGACAAAGAATGGATCCGGGACTCCTCACTTCAGCCTGGCTCTTCTTTCGTGGGCGGCGTGTCCACAGTGAGATGGGTCATCGCGTCTTTTTTTTTTTTTTTTATCTTCCAAAGTCATGCCGGTTAAGTGGAAGCACGTGTTCGTCAATCGCAGCCTGCTCGATGTCTCCCGCCGGCGGTCGGTGCACTTCTGAACAATAGGAGAAGGTCCCAGATGCAAAAAGTCGGGGGGCGTCCGCTCCGGAATCAATGAAAAGCCTGCATACCTCGTCAAAGACACAGCAATAGGCCCTGGTGCTCTCGTCCAAGCCTGCGGGGGGAAGAAGGGGGCGGGGCCAAGAGGAGGTGAAACGGACATGACTCTGCGTTTGTTTCATCTTCAGCTGTAAATATGAGCCGAAATGGAGAGGATGAAGAAGTCTTTGTTTGTTAAACTATTTTTATTGTTCTGAAAAAAAAATAAAGAATGAATGGTGACGTTGGATGCTGTTTTTCTGACACTGACGTTTTGAGAGTGAAGCTGATTAGAATATAGATTGTATCTCGATATGAGGTGAAAAAAATGAGAGGAAAAGTACGTCCAGGACTAAAACATGGAGAATGGATTAATCTCCAGACAATGATGTAAGCTACAACTTGACTGGTTGACTTATACTTTGACTTTCACTAACGCGCTATAAAAGGGCATTTTTATGAACATAAATCCCATTTTATATCGTACCACAGAATTTTTATTTAGTTGTAAATCAATGATTTGTTGTCGCTGACTTTTTTTAAGCCCTAACATACTAAGACGTGTTTTTTGAAAAAGTTTTTTTTGAAGAACTATACGATATATTTTTTACGTGCTTTTTATGAAATGCAATTATTTTCCATTTTTTATGGTGCGTGTTTTCTGTAATATGTTACAAGGAAATTTATGATGTAATATATACTTTTTTTTTTTTGTTTTTTTTTACATCTTTTCAACGTGCTTTAGTATGTTTAAAAAAAAAAATGAACTGACTTTTTTTATATATATATTTCTTTTCTGCCATGCAACATGCATGCGTGACATGCACTTGGGACTTTATAAGGTAAAGTGAACAATGACCTTTTATGACTTTACTTTCAACACAATACAGTATGAGTCAAAATACTATTTTATGAATTTGACATTTCCTTCTGAAATACTATAGTATGACTTTATTCTTGCCTCCCAGGTTTCCATGGACCGCGTGCTGCTGCTGCCAGGATCCATCCGGACTGCTCCGAATAACGTTAATCACTCGGCTTTTTACTATTAATGCTTTCATTACTGCTCTATTCAATGTCTACCTGGGCTGATACTATTTATATTCTTTCTGCTATTAGCAGTGCTATTGCTTTTGTTTATTTGTGTCCTTTCTCCAATATGGATTAACTGTGATGTCATGTTTTTTATTTTACACACTACATCTAGTGCAGAAGGTCCCACGGATGGAATACGTTGTATGTTAATATCTTAAAGCCCAGTGAGGCAGATTTTGGATTTATGATATTGAGTTAGAAAAATAAAATTCAATCAGTATGAATTACAGTTGACTTTCTCAAATATTCTATTTTAGGACTTTTTCAACATTCTGCACTTGAGTTTTTGTAGTATTCTTTTTTTGACAATGTGATTTTTCATCTAAATATTACTGACCAATGGCAATACTTTTACTTCTAAATATTTTACTTTTTCATTAACTAAATAACCCTTTTATGTAGAATTTTTTTGTTCTTTAAGTACTTTTTAATATTATTATACAATTACTTCATTGGATCCTTTATTCATTACGCACATCACTTTGATCTCGACTATAATATTGCAGCAAACTTTAAAACTGACTTCTAAGTCCCTCTCAAGGAAAGTAAGTGTGTGTGTGTGTGTGTGTCAGTAAACACAGACAAACCTGAGTAAAATGCACCACGTATCAAGAAACTCATGCAAATAGGAATACACACATATATATATACAGCACCTAAGCTGACATGTCAAACAAAACAGAGCTTGGCAGCGGGCAGACAGGTCCAGAGCTTCTTTTTATTATTTGGTACCCATGAATAGATGGCAGGTGCTCGAGTGTTGTTGAAGTGTCAGTAGTCGTCCTCCTGACTGAGAAACTGAAAGCACAAAATGCCCTGAACATGTTACATGCATAGTAATGTGCCCATATTACAAGAAAGTGTGCTTTTGGATAAGGAAATAAAGTCAATCTACGACGCACCGAGTGTCGGTGCTCATTGTGTTTGTGCCGAGAATAACATTTGGTAAATAGTCACTAATAGAAAACAGTACGTGATGCACTCATTCAGCGGTGTCGTCTGTCACTGCAGCAGCCACTGGCCTCGTGGGGGGGGGGACGGGGGGGGGGGGTTCCTCGCTCCGTGTGCTGTCTTTGAAGAGTCCAACCTCCTTCCTCCATTTTGCCCCCCCACACCCCCACCGCATGACAACTATTAGCATGTCACAGCACACATGGTGCCCCACAGGTGTGGGCGGGTTCCATTGTTCTGACTAGACAAATGATGTTCATGCAGTAAAAAAAAAGAGAAAAAAAAGCAACAAAACATTGAAGATCCCATGTTTTAAACTACATCCGTGATCGGAGACCAACTGGGAGTCTGTCAATGCACACGGTTTCATACTGGTCTTTACTGGTCCTGTGGTGTAACCACCACTAGATGGACCCATGGCACTGGAGACTCTACTGGCGTGAGCCCGACTAGCAGGTGGATGCTGTTGCGCATGTGTGCACTGGTGGACTAAAGGAAAGCTCAAATCGATGTGATTCACACAGACTCTCCGTGTTTATTTGCCTGTGCAGCCTGAAACCCAAAGCCTGTTTGGAACTTGAAGCGGGAACGTTTTGTTTAACTAACTGGATTAAATCTCTTCCATAAGTGTCGTTACGAAGCACTGTTGTACAAACAACGAATCCTCGACAAAGACACATGAACAGTGCAAATGCTACATTAAGCCCTTATGCCAGATTTCGGAATGTAATGAAGCATGGAACGTTATTTCCACTGGAGTTATATCTTCAAAGTCTATTGTAGATGTTATATTTCTGATCACTGCAAAAACTATTTAAATGACATTTCATGTGCTTTATAATGAACAGATATAATAGAAACGTAAAAGGTTATAAAAAGGATATATGTCCCCAAAAAAGGTGGCCTCTCAGGTTCTGTATTGCAGGCTGCCTCGAGAGTACAGAGAAACACTGTAGGTTTGAGTCTGTGTTGAGGTGACCTTTTGACCTCCTTGGCCTCCGGCTGTTTGGGAAAACAAGTCTCAACTCTTTGCAAATCCCGCGGCCACCAGCTGTTAAATGTATCAAAGAATATTACACCACGTATGTGCTTTTAATATCCAGTCAACACGTAAACAAAATGAGAAACGATATAAACGTTAACAGCTAGTTGGCTGACGAGGGGATGAAAGAGGGCGGCCCTCGTCTCGAATGTGCTTATTCTGCGCGGTGGGTCGACTCAGGCTCCTCCCCCCCCCCCCCCGGGTCAGCAGTGTCTTCCCCTCAGTTGATCCGCACCACCAGTACGGCAGCAGATCCTGGCAGCGGAGAACGAGAGGGCCCTCGCCGATCCAACCAGCGTCCCGGCTGTGGCTCCGTCAGGACGACTGCATCAGGCCCGTGAGCCGCTTCCCCGTCAGCGACTTGCCCTGCGAGGTCGATCGAAAAAAAACACAACACACGCGTGACTGGGCACGGTGACCATTTCGCGTGACGTGGCGTGTTATCTTGTTTCCCCCCCCCCTGCGACATGTGATGAGCCGTGATGTGAGTGACATGTGGCTCGTTGCAAAAGCCTCTGACGGCGAGCCGGCCGGTGTGGTTTGTAAATCGAGCAGCCGAAGACTTAAGACTTACCACGCTGCGGGTGAACTTCTCCAGGGGGGCAGCGCGGCCCCTTTTTAATTACCCGGGGGGGGCTTTTTTTGGGGGGGCGGGGGGGGTTTTCCGATAAAGAAAACTTTTTTGGGGGGGGGGGGGGGATTAATTTTTCTTTGGGGAACACTCCAAAAAAATTTTTTTTTTGGGGGGGGGGGGGGGGGGGCAGCGACAGGCCGGGCAGGAGGAGCAGATTAATAGCACGAGCTGCTGTGATTCAATGAAAAGCTCCTTAGTAGCGATGTTAGCGTCGAGCTGTCCCACTCACACTATACAACAAATATACACAAGAAAAACTATTCACAGCATGACTGTTGCCCCTCTTTTCTACAGCGGTTTGTCTGTGTTCATAACGTGACGTAATTTTACATACTTATGTACATTCAGTAGTTACCGTGCACCTGCATCTTGGGCGCGCTTGTTTTGCCTCTTAAGGACTTAAGGACAAGATCATCTTGCTAAGAACTGTTAAAGCCAATGAAATGGGCCTGTGATACAACCTGTGTTGTATCACAGTGCGATCAGATTCACATGGATATTTCATAAGGAACTAAAAGCAACAATAAGACACAACATTTGGAGGTGAAATGGGAGCAGGATGGGGGGGGGGGGGGGGGGTCAGGGCTCACCTTCTTTCTGGCTAACAGGAGGTCTTGGTAGGCGTTGGATCGCAAGAAGCGTGCATAGCTGTCACTTTTCATCAGCTTGAATATGTGCTCCTGCGACGGAAAGAACAAAACCGTGAGTGAACGTTGGGAAGCAAAGGAGGTCGCATCATGCTAATTCCACGCGTGCACACATTCAGCCGGTCGGCGCGCACCGTCCTCCACGCCACACACACACACACACACACACACACACACACCGCCGACTCCACTCTGAACCAGAGGAATTCATGACGGGCCGACCGGACCACCCATTCATGGCCGTTATTCGCCTCGTTAGGCCCTGGCACAAACACACTCGAGTCATTCTCTCTCCTTCTGCCCCCCCCCCTCATTCATTCATCCACCTTTGTATCACAAGAGGGGTCGAAGGGTTCAGTGTCTCCTTGGGAGACTGTGTGTGTGTGTGTGTGTGGGATGTACTGCATGGAAAAACATCTTTTCAATTAGAAAGTAGAGCTCCAAACACATGCATTCATGTACGCGCGTGCCGTCATGCGTGACGCCGTCCACCTGGGCGTCCTCGTAGCTGTATCTGCCGGGGTCCCTGAGGTTCTGGCTGGTGCGCTCGAAGCTGTGCGAGTCCAGGTTGATGGAGCTCGGCGCGCCGTCGGCCAGGAACTCCTGCCAGATCTCCTGCGCGCGGGCGGACACGTCCTGCAGGGGGCGCCGCTTCAGATCCTGCACCGCTAACCAGAACCTACAACAGCGCCGCCGGATGTTTATCAAACACAGTATATATAATATGCAGCAAACATAATGTTTATACGCAATGCTGTTGGATGCAAATTGTGTGGAGCAGAAGAAAAGAAGTTATAAAAACCTTCGTATCTATGAAGGAACGTGGCACAAATGTCTTGTGAAGCAACTGTGATCCATTGTCAATATAAATAACGGTGACAGACACTTGTCACCCTCACCTCAGGTTCTCTGAGCTGAACTCGGACTCGAGGAACTTCAGGAACTGGTCTCGTCCCGCCGGATCCTTCAGCGCCTCCTCCAGAGAGAAGCCCCACTTCTTCACGCGCTGCTGGCTGGGGTCTCGACTGCCCACAAGGAAAACCGATTAGAGAGGACGGAGCAAAGCGGAGGTGCGCTGGTGAACTCCCAGCGTGCCGACGCGGCTCACCTGGCCTCCAAGTCCCAGAAGGAAGCGTCGTCGCTGACCCAGGGGTTGGAGGGCTCGGGGGCCGACACGAAGGGGTCGTACTCCATGAATTGCTCCGTGTAGCTCATCAGACTGTCGGCCACTTTGGAAACCTTCATGCAGTGTCTGTCCAGCTGGATGTTCAAGAAGGTGATCTGACAGAGTAGAGGGGGTGATAATGAGGAAGCTAAAGGAGGTAACGGCTCATCAGTCTGCGTCGCCGGCTGTCGCTGTGACGGATGGGCGAGGCGGCCTGCTGGTAATGACCCACGGGGGAGGGGGGGAGGGAGACCTTACCTCCTTCTGAACGTCCTCTCTGGTGGCCTTCCTCGCCGGCTGGGAGCTGACGTGGACGGGGCTCGGCTGGCTCTGGCCGTCGTCTGTGACCCCGTAGACCGACTGGAGAGGACCAGAGACGCGTTTGGTACCGTGACGGATCAGCGAACGCGTTGCAGCGGGATCTCGGTGGCGTCATCGTTAAAACGTAGTTGTAAACGCGGCAATTTGGGACCCTCGTTTACATTTACTCACAGATCACACGTATAAGGATGGGAAGAATCCTAAAGGCTCTCCTTCTATTTCTTTGACACATATGCTTGTCCGGCCCCCGTAAATATAAAAAAAATCTAATCTGAGACATTTAAACAAACAAACAAACTGGTGCTCTTGTCATTAGGAAAGGTTTAGTAAAATAAAGCTGCACTACGGTTCGAAAGGCCGTCGTCGCTTCCTCCCCTCACCTTTTTCACCCGGTGGGGGTTCCGTTCTCTCCGGCACTTGCGGATGTCCATCTCCGTGGTGTTGACACAGCCCGGCTGGGGGAGGCACAACACGTTCCCAGTTCAGATGACGGCAGATCGTCTCCCCCCACAATAAAAGGACGTTTTTATTCAGCGACGGCACACTGATCGCTGCTTTTTTAGCTTGAAATGCTGAAATGTTCTACCCACGTCACGGCGCCTCTTTTCTTTCCTCTTTATTCATGGCCATTCTTTCACTGTTCCAGCATCTGACCCCCCCGTTCCTTTCCCTTTGGTCATAACTCACCACCGGTCGATGGACGTCCCAGAAGGCCCTCTCCTGGCTGTCCAGGATCTTTCTATCTGCCTTGTCCTTCTTCCTGTCGATCCTGTCAACAAAGCACACAATTAAAACGGAGAACTGTGAAATATCGTCAACATCGTCGCTCTGACTGGTGCTTTTGCGGACAAGAGAAAAGGGAATGTCCACTAAAGGGAAAAGGACGAGAGACACCGACGCTGTACTTACACATGCAAGCCAGCAGGTGGGAGTCTTACAAAGACGTTAACTAATGGTGTTTGTGTTCGTTTAGTTCCACTGGGGGACGTCTGATGCATTTTTTGCGAGTAAGAATGCATCAAATTTGATCAACATTTTCTGATTCATACATGCGCTCATCTACTCACTTGACTTGGGCCTCGGCTTGCATGAAGATAAACTCCCACTTACGGGCAAAAGCCCTCTGCAGCCGGGCGAGGTTCTCCTGGGGGGGGGGGAAGAGGGGGGAGGTTGGGGTTGAGAAAGCAGGAACTCAAGGCCCTTACATGATGAAGCTGCAAGACCAGAAATTAGGATTTTTTTGCTTTTTGGGAAAAACTCACCTTTTAAACTCACTAATTAACGTGTCATGTTTCACTGGTTTAGATCTCTACGATCTGAGGCGCAGCAGATAAAAAGCAACAACGGAACAAACCCACCAACTGTCACATGATACGTTTTGCTCGAGTAAAATCAATAAAAGCTTCGCAAACTCTTTACACCTTAATAACGTACTCCGATTGAAGCTTCCTACTGAACTGCACATTGTTAATGACACCACTCAAACAAGCATCTGTCAAATATACAGTACATGGCATCATTAAAAAGAGTAGCTACTAATGAGCAAGCTGGCACAAAGTGAATGTACGTCTACTGGACGGTAATTCAGCAGATAGAAGTGCAGTGGGTTGCCGCTGTATAAAAAGCAAGAGCAGCTCTTTTGTTTGTACCTACAGCCTCATAGTCAGCCAGCTCCAGCCTGGCCTTATTCTGCATGGTGCGCTTGCACAGGTAAATGGCTGCAGGAGAAAGAGCGTAACAAAATGAGTCAGACAACAGTGTCGACAACAGATCTGCAGTGAGACCTGGTCTCCCTGGGACAAGCGCCGGCGCGACTCACCGTAGTCGGTGTTCTCGGGCTCCCAACAGTTTGAAGGCCAGAAGTACGGAGACTGATGAAAGCAGACGGGGACGGAAACAGAAACAGGGCATGTTTACTTACGCAAATGATCACAATGAGCATCATTTTTATCGTCGAAAAGAACAATAATATCCTCCGATATGGATGTTGGGATCTCATTTCTCTCTCCTCCCACGCTGCCTCTGCATTCCTGCACGAGGTTAAAAAACAGCTCGTTGCTTGGCGGTTATCCTTGACGTCCACGTGCTGCACATAAATATCTTGCCAGCGGGGCTATATATATATATATATTCTCTCTATTCATATTTAATTGTCTATTGCAACCAATATTACACATTCAGAGTTCATTTCCAAGTCCATTAATAATGAATCACTCGCATCCGTCATGCATTCTTAATAACAGGGCAGAGTTAGAAATTGATGGTACTCAACTACATATTTCACTCGCGTTATTTCTCATAATGTCAATTAGCATGAAGCGCAAACGGCCGGCACGGCTGAGCGGGCTTGTTCGGGTGTAGTGAAACAAAAAAGGTCAACATGCAAACTCTCATTAACAACGGAGAATGAAGTTGAAAAAAAGCAAAAGAAGCCATTAAACGTGGGCCTCGTTCCAGAAAGACGTCTCCTTACAGAACACCAAGCAAAGCTAAAAGTCATCTGCCATTACGCTTAAAGCCCGGCGAAGGCCGGCGCCTCTTTTCACACGCTGGGATGACGTGGGCCCGTTGCGTCACGACGACATCGCACGGAACATTTTTAGCACCGGTCGAATGAGCGAGCGGGACAATAATGTCTTTTAATCCTGAGCATTGGAGGTGAAGCATTCAGAGGTGGATTGGGGAGGGTGCAGTGGGGGGGTTTCAGGGGGTAGGCTGGCGACAGTGAAAAGGGAAGAGCCAGTGTGCTGCCGGCTCACTGCTCGGAGATGCTAATGGCGCCGCCACACAGCGATGAGTCACCGCGGAGCCGTCGGAGGAACCTGTCAAACGGTTCATGCCGGATGATACGGAGCGAAGAAAGAAAGGGAAAACTCCTCTAACAAGCCGCGCAGCTGGCCCGGCAGGTCCGCAGGCCCAAGCCCCCCCCCACACTCCCACCTCCCGCTCTGACGCGGCGTCCCGGCGGGGACGGACGTGCAGGAGCGACCTTGGCGCGGTGACTAATAGGCTCAGAGAGGATTGCTCTCGTTCGCCGTCGCGCAACAAACGCGTCCCACGCATGTCGAGCGAGGAGCGGCCCGTACCTGAAAGCGATAGAGGGTCCCGTCGTCCTTAAGCGTCAGGACGTGGTCAGAGATGGGGAAGATGTAGCCGTGGGCGGCGACGAGACTCCCCAGGTGGATGGCCTCAGCTGTCGGCGTGAGAGAAAGCCCACAGATAAAGCGTCCCCGTCCCATTGAGGCCCCGTCGGGCCGGCGCTTCACCGACAGAGGTCTCGGCGGCCTTACCTGGGTCCTCGATGGAGAGGTTCTTCATCAGCCACTGAACGATGTCCGCCCCTGGCATTCAGAGAAGGAGCTTGGTTAGCTGGAGGGCGTCTTTGTCAACGCCGTGCAGGTGTGTGAGGGTTAATGTTGACGGGTCTGCAGGCCCGCGGCTGGAACGGCGCAAACATTCGGCTTTTTCGTTCTGCCGCCGGGAAAGACGGAGAGGCCATCGGGCCGGGAGTGGGAGGGTGGTGGGCAATGTGAAGCAATGTGCAGCGAGCACGCCGTCCGACACTGGTGACTCACATGTCGTACACGAGCGCACACACACAGTAAATATAAATATAGATATATAGACAGGCCCATGCACACCAACACCAACCTGACACCACACTGGGGATCTTGGAGAGGAAGCTTTTGACCGTGCGGATGGCCACACCTCCGGCCTTCTCATCTTGTATTCTTGTGACGATGCCTTCGATCTGTGGGAAAGCCGAACGGGTTAGAGTGCTAACGAGTAAGGGCGAAATAAGAAAAGGCCTCCGGCTACACAACTGAGGTTATTGTGCGTGGTTATTTTGGGGAATTAAACATCCAATATAAGGATTTGTGAAGTCATTATTTACATCTGAGGTTGCAGATGTTTGTTACGATGAGTAAGGCCTTTCACAGTGAACTTATCCGTTATTACGATGGAATCATTGACGAGTGCAATGGTGATCTGCATGGAGGGAAGGCGCTCTGTGAAACTCACTCCTTAGGGACGGAGCAGGTCAAAGGTTAAGTCGATGAAACAGTTCACTGATGCACACAACAGCTGGCAGGTAATGACGCCACGCGGTGGGTCGATTTATTTATCACCGACACGAGGCTGCGTCAGAAGGCCGTCGCGGCCCCAGACGCACATCCGCCGCCCAAAATTAGGCTCTGCACCGCTCGACACGACACGGGGGGGAGAGCGCACACGGGAAACGAGTGTACGGACACACACCAACGGAGACCCATATAGAGACACAGGTTACTTACTTTAAACCAGCGGTGTTGGTCGTTGCTGGAATATGTTGTTTATGCAGCGCACAGACTCACTCAGGCTTTCATGTGACTAGTCAGGGTTTTGTTGTAGATCTACAATATTGATGTTGCACCCTTGCAGCCAACCATCTGCACTAATACATGCGTTGCAGTTAGAATATGTGTCAAATGTGTAAAATATGTTGTGTCCCTGCTTGCTGTTCTTTAGTTCTGCAGCCTTTTGCAGCTTTAACACAAGAAAAGCGAAACATCTCCTGGAACGTCGCGCAGTAAGAGGCAGCAGCACATTTACTCAACCAGTTCATTCGAACGGTAACCATCTCCCCTGGAGAAGCATTAAAAGGACGAGTCATACACGCCATCAATCCACAACAAAACACCCAGCTGCACTTTAATAAGACACATGATGCCGAGTGGGGAGGCGAGAGAGAGAGAGAGAGAGAGAGAGAGAGAGAGCTGCATGGCAACACCATTACCGATCTCTCCCCATAAGAGAGAGAGAGAGAGAGAGTCATTCATTATTGAACGTCCACTGTGGAGAATCACCGCCTGGCGTCATCACCCCCCCCCCCCCCCCACGTTGCGATCGACCCGGGCATCCTCACATCCCCCCCCCGAGACGAAGCAGCACCGCGCGGACGTTTGGGTCCTCGTGTCCTGGTGCAATAATGGACCTTGGAACTGGGTGCAGCAGCGCAGACAGAAGGACTCATTATCTCCACGTAGGATGAGATCAGACCACAAGTGCTCGGCCCGGCTGCACAAAGTGCCCGTCGTATCTCGTGGACGTGCAAGCTAATGGTGTTTGCTGCCGGGTGTGCAGTGTTTTTTTTTTGTTGGGGGGGGGGGTGAAATCAAATTCAGCTAGCGCGCGATAACAGGCACTCTGCCCGCCGCCACCGAGCTCTGTGAATGATTGTCAGGGGAACACGTGTGTGTGTGTGTGTGTGTGTGTGTGTGTGTGTGTGTGTGTGTGTGTGTGTGTGTGTGTGTGTCTCTTGCCACCGTATGTTTGCCTTTGCCGAACACGTGTGTCCGAGTGTTGTGCTCATTGTCTGCGTGTCCTCTGCTCACGTTGTCCTCCACGGGCCTGAGGGGCTCTTATATGAGGTCTATCTGGCACACGCGCGCCAGGTCAAAGGTCAGGGGGGGAGAACGTGAGGGAGCAGAAGGAGGCGAACGCCTGAAGCCAGTTAATGAAAAGCATTTACTCCACATTAATGTCAGGGAAGACCTGCACGCCGTAATGCCTGAAACGAGATCATTACTTCCCGTTACATGGTTTTGTAATTGGGTTAGCTTAATGAAGTGAGACAAAACCTCAATGAGAGCGTCGGGGACGTAAATAACCTCCAAGACACGTGGAACCGGGTTCCTCCAAGAACAGCCCGAGATGAAGCTATTAAAAAGCGGCCCAGTCTTCAGAAATGAGACAGCTGCTAAAAGATGCATCGGGCGGTAATGGCGGCGTTAAATATTCAGCGGTCACCAGCGGGGCTCGGGGCACACTCCTTAGGGTTGAGAGACATTCGGGTCCGGCTGACGGGCCAAGGGGGGGGGGTCAGGCGTCCTGGGCTTGGAGATGGTTTCGCGGAAGCCTTTTTGAGGGTGAAATAGAGAGGAGGCTCGGAGAGGTTTTAAGAGAAGTCTTAAATAAAATAAAAGTAACCCGCGTTCCTTCTGCTGTCTGATCACATGGAGCATTCTCCATAATCAAAGACCAGAACGAGCGCGCTTGTAGAAGGACTCATTAGGACTGTATCACATTGTGCATAAATGAGAGCATCTAGTTGGGTTTTGCTGCTAAGTGGAAACGCAGCAGCGTGCCCCGATAATCCGACAGAAGACGAAGGCATTCTTCCGTTTATGAGAAAATAATAAGCCAATAAGCACAACTCAAAGTACTACAGTGACATTCTAAATAATTGCCTTATCTGCTACTGTAGTTAATCTTCACGGATAAATGCCACCGACCTATGAAGAAAACACATGGACTATAAGTACACAAATATCAGCCAACCCATTGGAATTATTTTGTTTTTTGTCACACGTTCAGAAATAATGTTCTGCAGATCTTCAACAGACAAACCAACGTTGTGTTATGACCAGTTCCTTCTGATTGCCAATAAAATCACGCGTCATTAAGGTTCTAATCTCAAATTCTCCTCGTCCCCCCCTTTTAAATTATTCTTAATAACACTAAAACATGGCAGCAACATTAAAGTTCTGTCCTGGCCTACAGCTCGCCAGCTATTGTTAAGTAACTCCTCCAAAGTACACAAACCGGTCACGCAACACCTTTTCCCCGGTGCCGTATTGACGTCTTCGCCGTGCCGTGTGCACAACTGAGTGAGATCCAGCTGGTGCGCGTCTGCCCGCGGGGAACGCAGCGAGGACAAAGCCTGCCGAAGCCTCCGTCCAACACTCCCGGCGTGCCAAGTCATGACGAGGGAGCCGCGAGAGGCGCTCAGCTGGATCCGTGCACGCGGACTGGAAGAGCCCGGCCTGCGTGGCGCCGCGGTTCGGTTCGGGGGGGCGAGACTGTTGCCGATTCTCAAGAACTAATCGCTTCCTGCACGTGTGATGTCGCATTCCAGTGAGGCGTCAACCGTGTCCTGCAGGAGGACGCGCGTTCACTCGTCCATCTCACCTCAGGACGCCCTGCAGGGAAACGCTTTTCCCATTATGTCGGTCTGACGGAAACATGTACTTCACACGCCAGTGAAGCCGTTTCCCCTTTTTGCCAAAACCTCCCACGTTTAATCCCTGTGATCGTTGTGAAGGCACCAGAAAGAACGGTTTGCACGTGGAGGAAAGGAATCCCGCTCACTCATATTGAGAAACGCCCGCCGGGGGTTAATCCCAGAGCGCGTCTCCGTATTGTTCTGCTAAACGGATCCCCTACGTTTTGCTAAAGGCTGAGGTCACAGTGGGAGCATCAGAAATCAATGCTCGGGAAACGGGCCTTTGGAAGCGGCCCCTCGAAATGAGGTTGCGATTTCTCTCGGCCCCTCTCCCTCCCTCCGAGGCCAGGTGTCGCCCCCGCGGATTCATGTGTAATTTAATCACACGGCCCGGGCGTCGGCGGGCCTCCTCAGCGACAACAAGAACCCTCTGCTGACAACGAGGCCCGAGCGCTGCAGGACCGAGCGGAGAGTCCAATTAGCTGGTGCCTGATTGCCCGACCAGCTGGACGCCCCCCTCAGGGGAAACGTCCAGAGGAGTCCGTCTCTCTTCAAACCCCCCCCCCAACGTGACGCGCGGGGACGGAGGCTTTCATCCAGGCCACGACGGGTCGGTGTCCACGCGTTGGCTCGGGGTCTCTCCGTCTCCACGGCGACACAGTGGCAAAAAGAGCAAAAGCAATTAAAAGTTTGTCGCGTTGGGCTCCAGCTTTGGCAGGAAGCCCGTTTGGGTAAATAATTACAGGTCATGCTCGCCGGACGGCAGCGATATGCTCGCCGCGGCTGCTTTCTTTGCTTTTTAAAAAGAGGAAATAACAAGCTCATGTCCTCCCAAATCAAAAGGGAAGCACTTAAAATCAAAGCTTTGCAGCCGGCATAATTCTTGTGATGGAAATACAGAGTGAAAATCTGCTCTGCAAAGGCCGGCCACACGAGAGAGAGAGAGAGAGAGAGAGAATAAGCCTGCCCGCAAACCGCGGTGACTCATCGGTCACCTTTCTCGAGGAGGACGGAAAAAGATCATCTCCTCTCTTGTAAATGTCTGTTGTTAGATACTCGATGGGTTGCTAAGGGCTCGAGTGTGGGGAAAACGGGAGCCGGCGGCTCCCGGAACAGATTGCCCACTCTGAAACGAAGTGGTCTGTGCAGATACAGAGGCGACTTTTAAAAAGAGACATGGGTCGCAAGTGAGCCGCCAGACACTCGGCCGGACGCTTTTATCGGCCAGTGTTTTTTCTCTGCTTCATACAACGAGCCGGAAAAAGGTCATTTGCTGCGAGAGAGAGAGAGAGAGAGAGAATCACGTTACCTGCAGTTCACCCAGGATTTACCTCCGATCATTGATGAACAGCAATTCACATGCAGGGAAGGTGCTTCCACCGCCAACACCTCTCACACCATCTGCATGTTGAGTGCCTGCGGGACTTTGTAAAGGTTTGGTTCCTAATGAGGTTCCGTATTCTTACAGCCAGCAGTCCGTGATTAGGAAAGAAATGGGAAAAGACGGCTATTGGCATTATTACGAGTTATGAACAGCAGAAGCAGTCGGTGTGGAGAGAGAGAGAGAGCGAGAGAACAGATGCTTTCTTCCTCATTGTCAGTTTCAAAGTAGCTCCTTCCAGAGGGGGGTTTTCTATCATTTATTAGCTTCAGTCAGATGCATAAGTCACAGCGGCAACACTGTTACGCAAAATGGAAACGCGGAAATCGACAATGGTGTGACAGTGCAGGGCGAGTGGCGATGGACGACGCCGCCGCGCCGCTCTGAGGCGCCACGGGGGGTCAGACCGGGCACATCTCTATCTGCTGCCGCCAACGGAGGAGCTCGGTGCCTCGCGGAAGCTGCTTTTACACAAAAGGGGACACTGAATTTGAGTTTCAGTTTGAATATTTTCCACTTTCTTAGTCGATAGAGTCTTCACTCTGCCTCCATATCTTCATATACGACACCAGTTAATGGAGATTGGTTTGAGGTGGTAAAACCTCGGGACCATCTGTCCACCTTTTGATATTGGCGTCGTCCCCCGATGCGCCATTCCTTAAGGCCCGCTGGTAATTGGGTTGCAGATGAGAGAGGAGAGGAGAGGCGCCATGGGGGGGGGGGGCGGGGGACACAGGCCTGTGCGTGATGTTTGAGACACTGGAGACAAACCCTATCATCGCGGAGCTGAGTAATCTCCCAGGAGAGGAGAGCTTCGGGCTTTTGGAGGTAGACGACGTAACTCCTTTCTTTCAATATTTAAACCAGATCATACTTCATCTTCATCCAGCTGGCAGTGCACCATCAAAACTCTAAATCATTCCCACAGAATCCTTGTATTTGGAACGCTGATGCACACTATTGACACTCGAAGCATCTGAGGAGCTTATTGGAGACGACAAGATGTGTCCTCCAATAGATGCCTGCTTTTTCGTGTCGCCATTCTGTGACATCATCTGCTTTCGACTTGGAGAAAGTGTATGTCTCTAACACATTTCATTCCTTGGCTCCAAATGCTTCTGGCCCCTGAACCTTCAACAATGGATGGACTTCCTGTCATGGCTGCTGCTATATTAGAGGATTTTAACAGCTCCGATGTGCATCATTACGCTCCGTCCTCCTTTCCACCGTTGGCCCCGAGCAGCTCGTGTACCTGTGTGGCCTCTCACAGAAACTCACTCAGGCCGCGGCCGCAGTTGGACATTCGCCAACACTTAACGCCAGTTAATTACGGAACAGCATAGCAGGATAATTTTTCTCGGGGGATCTGGAGAAAGTCTGTGAAAACAAGATTTCCAGTGGCAGCAACGGAGCCCTGCTCATCTCGCAAGGGCACCGGGCACCGGGCAGCGGCACACACACACACACACACACACACACCGGTAATTCTGTGCCCTCAGTCCCAGCGGGGGGGGGGGGCACCGCTCTGCTTTAAAGGGACCTGCAGAGAACCTGTCTGCAGAATGGGCCTCCGTCACTCCGTCATCCTCTCACTCACACGCCACTCGTCCAATTTCCATCCCGTAATTGTCTTTTAATGAAAGCGAATGAGGCCTGAAGGATCCCAGGGAAGCTCCTACGCTCGCCGCAAAGGGCAACAGCAAAATGTGCTGCGTGACGGCACGGGTTAGCCGTTCGTCTTCGAGGCTAATTAACTGACTGAATGACAGAATCAATAAAAAAAAAAAACACAGCGGAGTGTTTTAATGCATCAAATCTCAATCTGTTAACAAACCGTCTTCGGTGAAAGCTGAAGCAAACGTGTCCATGAATCTGTTATTATTTCACCTTAGGGGAGTGAAATAACAACCTGCTATTATCTCCGCCAAGCTAGAATTTGCAATCTAACCTGTACGCCCCCTCGAAGTACCGAATACGATTGCCAGAAAGGAGCTGGCCACCGCTTTTGCGATTCAACATATTTCACAAGTGAGGTGTGCTTTTCTGTTTTCATGTGTGCGATGTGATTCAGCGAGGGTTTGTGACGGGAATCTGCACAGCGACGCGCGCTTCGGGACTTAAATGTGTGGCCATTTGACACGGCTGAAAGCTCTTCCTATCATTACCTATGAATAAAATATCATACAGCAGGTTTAACTAAAAGAAAGGAGCTATTGAATTCACTGTCTCTCGCCTTAATTGCAAAAAGGTCATCGACCTGTTTTAAACAAAGACGGATGGACAACCGAGCCTGCTGCTCATTTATGTTTATGCAGAAGATTTACGGTAAAATCTAAAACATTAGTTTCATTAAGGCTAAATAACAACCCATAACCGGTGTTACAGTAATGTGATTACTTGGAATAACCACGTTAGCTCTCGTGTTACCACGCGACTGCAGCGGCGTGACCGCCTCCCTCTCGCTGTGGCTGCAGCTCAATCGATGGCGGTTGTTACCAGCTTGAAACGACCCCCCCCCCCCCGCAACTCCCTCCGCTGCCGTCGATCCGTCAGATTCAGAGCGGTGAGAGTGGAATTAAGGCTCATGTTGCCTGCCAGGTGTAAAAGAGATCTCATGTCATGTGACGCCTGAGGAAAAATGGATTCAGGCAAAAAGAAAAAATGCCCTTTGACCAAGTCCAACCGTCAACAGCAAGGTCGCCCACAAGGACGTGGCTGTCCCTTGAAAGAAAAAGGGGAAATCCACTCACGCAACGGCAAACAGCCGCCACGACGCCACCGACTCAGTTCGGGGTCTCCGCCGTCTCCAGTGTGCGACCGAACCAGACAAACACGCGAGGACGCCGCGGTCATTCGTCCAATTAATTTTTGGGGCATCGTGGTGACAGAGTGCAACTCGACCGAGGGATCCCCCGAGAGGCCGAGCTGCAGAGTCCGGCGGGTGAGAGGGGTCTGAACTCAACTCAAATTTGGGCCAAATGTTGTGATCCCGCCTCCGTGGGCTGTTGAGTCATACTAGCCGGGCCGCGGTGATTCATCCCCGGCTTCCGCCTCCACCCAGAGACAGCAGACAGCGCATCATTACCTGAGGTTCAACAGGGCACGGATGGCACGCTGTCCCTCTCCGCCGCGTGAGTCACACCTTCTATTTTAAGGGAAACTCATTCCTATCTATCCGAAGTGTGTGTGAGAGAACTGCGCGTCTGTACGGCTGCTGTTGCTGCTGTAGCGTATTTCATTCTCCTCGATGAAGTGGCAATCAGAGGCCGTTTGAAGGTCATGTGCGTGTATTTGTTGTTTTGTTGCAGCGTGGGGAGTCAAATGAGCCACCCAACCATCGGAGGAGCACACTTCCCTCGGCTGGATTTGGCGTAGCGAGGACGTCCTCGTCACCGTCGGTGTACCATCAACAAAAAAAAGCAGCTGTGAGCGGTGACTAAATGCGCCTTTCCTGTGGTTAGCGGTGCAGTCGGAGGGAAAATGGGACACGGGGAGGAGCACTTCCAGACACGACCCCTCGAGGTTTGAAAAAGTCAGGAAATTTGAAGCGTGAAGAAGATGTGAAAGAGCAAGCGTGGATGCCGCAGCGAGACGCCGGCGTGCATCCGAACTCTGAGGTTCCTCATCGCTCAGCATATTTCCTTTCAATGCTCCTCCAAAGTCGTTCCTTTGCGGCAGCCGTCTACGTCGGTGTCCTCGGTCAACTGTTCCATCTCCATCAGCCGGACTGAGTGAAAGCAGCTTTCTGCGCATATCCTGCTGAACATGATGTAGCCTCTTTAATGACCAGAGCTCATCGGCCTTGAAAACTAGATCAGTTCACAAAGTGAATCCGTCTCTGTGGCTTAATGACGCAATAAATATATAAATAACGATTGCAGAAAAGCTTAATGCAATTGCAAAGTAAACCCTTTGGTAAATTAGGTTTTTGTTGTTGTTTTGGAAATGGGTGGAAGATGCATAGCTGGCGTATGTCTTCAACATGAAATCACTTTTCATGTTTAAAAGCAACGTTGATGTTCTAACTAAGAAGCTTGTTCCTGGGCTTATATTTATAAGCATTCATGCTCTTTTCGCTTTGATACCGTTTGTTCCAATACTTCTATTAAAAGATATCAAACTGTCGTTGCTGCGAATGCAGCTTTTCTTGTCCGAGCTCTTTCTTTTCCTCACTGATGCAGCGTGTCAGCACTGCCACAGGGCTGCAGTTTGCCCCCCCGCTGTCAGACCGCCACGAGCTTCAGCCAGAACCGCTTCCACAAACAATCAGTATTTTACTGTGTGTGATGACTCAGGGGTTTATTGTTTATTAGCATCATCATCATCAGATTAACTGGCCACCAGTTTCCTCTCCGATGCTATTACACATCAACCCGGAGACGCTGACAGGAAACATTAGTCCATTGTGGTGATTCTCTCCATATTTCTAGTGTTTAAATCGAGCTCCTGCGGAGATGCAGAGGTCAGTCAGAGCGCAGGAGGAGGCGTTTGAGGTGGCGCCCTAGTGGGATTCCAAGCGGCCTTGGCTCAGGGAGGGACTTTATTTCAGCCACGAAGAGACGTCCAACACATGAAACACATGCTCATGCAAGAGCTCCACACGGTTACTGTCGTTTTATCTCTTTGAGTTGGAGAGCATCCCGACGGGACCAAGTAGGAGACGGCGTCAAAGCGCTCACGCGTGATAAAACCGCGTCCGCGTCCGGATGGACCCGGCTATCTTAAGTGCAGTACGGGCAACAGCGAGCAGCGACACCTCGGACGGAGGTTAGACTTTAAAGAGGAGAGCGGCCTCCGTGCGGCCCTGGGCCCCTCTCGCAGAGAGGGGACCAGCAGAGCGAACGCCCGCTGACCCCCAAAACCGGACCAGCGGCCCGTCTCCGGCGCTGGTGGGTGGAGCAACTCTTTACACGGATTTCATCTTCAGTCGAGGGAGACTCCCTCCGGCGGGGACGTTTCTTTTACAGATTGAGAGAGGGAACTCTCTTTGCGTCCGGTCTTTAATATCGTCCCGCTGGCATTGGCGATAATTTCTTCTTCCCCATCAATCGTTCAGCTCAGCCTGAAGGCATGAAACGGGTGCGATGACGACACTATACGGTCAATTCAGAAATCTGTCTTTGTTGTAGCATTAAAATCGCCTTCTTTATATCATTTCTCTCTTTAATTATCCTCTCTCCACATTTAGAAGCCCACATATGAGTCATGAGAAAGAAAATACTAAAAATATACAGGATATGAATAAATTAATGGAGGGATGTGATGTCTCAGAGGACCAGATTATTTCCAAAGAGGAGCTTAAATTATTAATTAAGAGTATAAGAACGGCTGAAAAGAGGGAAAGTGTGGAGGTAGCAAAATTAATTTTTAAAGAACGATTAGCGGCTCTCTGGTTTTGGTCCTTAGCAACAGCCGTGCTTTGAGCACAACTCTAATATCTGCACGCTCACGGATGGAGTTTTTAGAGCAGCGCGCTTTACCAGTGGAGAAAATCTATCGTGTTAAATTAGAAAACACGAAATCTGTACTCGCTGCCAATAGAGTGCTGAGGCTTACACACTCACCCAAAGGCCACGAGCACCCAGCGGTGACTTTGAACTTCCCAGCAAGGCTCATTACTGATATTTACCCATTAATGGCTCCTCAGACTCCTCTGGGTAAAGGTTGTGTGTGATGCACAGCTACGGCTTTGATACCCGCCTTCAAGCTGCGGGTTGTATTATCCAATCAAACGTTGCATTTTCTTAATGAAAAAAAGGGAAATGTTAGCTATTAATAGTTTGCGAGCTTGGCCCCATCAGAGGAGTAAACTGGACCCTGGAGCTTAATTGCATTTCCCTGCAGCGTAGTCGACGCATCCACTCCCTACATTGTGTGTTTCTTGGTGCCAATTCGGTTCATCCACTGTGCCATCGTCCGTCTGCAGCGAGGAAAAACACAACAACCAGGACGGGGGAAGTGTGCATTAAAGTTGCATTAAGCTTGTGCACGAGTTGTGTGTGTGTGTGTGTGTGTGTGTGAGTGTGCATTTACAGTATGAGCGCAACCTACTCGTGTCAGACCGAAAGACATCCTGCAGTTATTGGATTGTTTTTGCTTCACTTGACTCTTTTTCGTGGGAGGAGAGACACAGAGACAGAGCAGGGATGTACTGCAGCACCTACACTGTCCCCCCCCAACACATCACATTTACCTCCATCTAAACTCCCTTAACTCGACAGATCTGCAGTAGATGTGGCCATTTAAATAAAGGTGCTTTAAAAAGGGCCCTCCGTGCATTTCACGTGCAGTTGCTCCGTGCAGTGAGGCGCCGTCTTGCAGCTGACAGGGGCCCCGGGGCCGCGGGCGGCCGAGCATATCGGCGGCCATCTGCCCCTCAGACCCGGAGGTCGGTGGAGGCTGTGACCCGGCACCTCTTATTCCTCTGGCCTGTGTGACGTCTCCAGGTAGCGAGTGGAGCAGATGTACCAAACATAACACCGCGCTATGACGGAGACGTATATATTTATATTGTTTTTTTTTAATCAAACAATTCTTTCTTTGCACAAGCAAAACGCCTCTGCTTCTACTTCCTACGCTTTCATCCTCAAACACTTTGAATCCAAAATCTAATTTTGAAAACAGGAAGGGTGGGAGAGAGAGATCCCGTCACTCGGAGAAAAATCTGTCTGCTGTCGCTGCGTGTGAGTCAAACATGAAATGATGTATGTTTCTTCAGGCAGCAGTAAAAAGAAGAAAAAAAAACAAGCCTCTTAAATGCGTCGCCTCCAGGCCTGCGTGGCGTTACGTAATGATGCGCCGGTTTACATCCCTGCAGCTTCTTAGAATACATGGGGGATAACGGCAAAATGCAATGAACAGTGAATGCAACTAACAGACACCGGCTCGAATGCCCACATGCAGTACACAAACAGATTTAGCATCCTGAAGGAAACTCCGAGGAAGAAGATACTTCTTATTTGATTGTGCGTTACGATTACCACCAAGCAGGTGGAGCGACCTCCAGCAGATGGGTGAATTGTTGCCGGCAATACACTGTCGCTAACATTCAGCAGCGTAGTTATCAGCCCTAGAGATTCACCCGGGTCAAAGAAGGTCCGGATTTTATTTCTCTGCGAGCTGCAGACTCGAGTTGCGTTTTTTGTTTTTTTTACAAAGATGGAGGTTTTGCAGGGAAATGCTGCGAGTCACTGAGCCCTAAAGCCTGCAGCGGCGTACGGCTGAAAGACGCGGCCGGCGGCAACGACGGTTCCCACTTCCTGTCCCGCCCGTCCCTCCGCTAATCTGTTTGTGAATGGACCGTCGTTAGGAGCAGGAGGAGACGACAGAACTGGGACAGTGGGACGGGATCTGTCCACTTATAGAGACTTTTTTTTGTTGTAATCACGACAGCAGGCTAAGTGGTGTAGCAGCTGATCCGCTGCTTTAAGTCTAATCAAAAGAAGCTTTTTTTTCTTCTTTTGGCCAAAACAGGCTGTCAGAGTCCTGGCAGAGAAATAACGAGCTGTTTTGTTGGTTGAGGAGGAAACACCCCCCCCCGTCAGCCGTTTCCCGCTCCCGCCTCTCAAGAAGCAGCTACTTCCTCTCGGCCCAGCATCCACGTAATGAGGGTCCCCGCGGTCTCCTTTCAAACAGCAACCGTTGAAATGAAGGTCCCCGGGGGGGCCGAGGCAATTACACGACAAAAAAAGACCACCGACTGCCCCGCCCCCCCCCCTCTCTGATTTTGGAGGGTTTAAGTTGAGTCCAGCGGCAGAGAGGCCTCCTGACGCTGGAGTGTCAGGCAGACACACACTGACCCGGGGTCAGTCGGGAGCCGGTCTGCTGGGCATGTATGCAGCCAATGTCTGTCCGTACACACACACACACACACACACACACAGGCTGCCTTACCTTCCTGTAGACGATCATATTGGGGGAGTCCTCCTCTGAATCAGTGGCGCCCACTCCTGCCTGGTCCCTGGACCCCTCCGCCATGTTCACGACCACGTCCTGTCAAAGAAACAGACGAGCCACATCAGCTCGTACAGCTCAGCACATCAGAAGGAGAACACAAGACGACGACTTGGCATTTCTATTTCCCCCCCCAACACCACGATTCCTCCAGCTTCTCACTGGTCCTGACATTCAGCTGCCCAAAAACGCGTCTTTCTGTCTGGGAAGGGGGAGCGCCTGTCAGCGTGCACAGACAAGAGCGCTGAGGTGGGCCGACGCAAGCGGAATATTAACTAAGCCGCCGAGCGGAAGCTGACCAGGCGCACCTGTGGGGCGCTTCTGTGGATACCGGGGAAGATAGAAGAGCAGCTCCGGGACACATGCGATGCGTGAAAACGGGTTGGCCCGAGCAGAGCGTTCTAAAATCACTTGGGTTGAGATTAATGGTTAAATACACGGAGTAGAAGGAATCGATACGCAGTTGAGATGAGGATGAAGGGAAGGAAAACAGCTAAAAGTAACGGACAGCTATAGAAACAGTGGAGATTCAAACGAACACAGACGGGGCACGGCTCGGGGTAATTATGTATACAGCACAGATGTTTGCCGACAACACAAAGTCAATGCGGCCTTGAGGAGATGAGTCATCTCTCTTTAACAAAAAACATAACCCCCCCCCACCCCCCACACACACACTGGTGTTGTTAATTAATAAACAGTCACCGAGGTGATGCTGAGCGTGCGTCTGTGGTCAATGCGAGCCGCTGCGTCTGAACGCGTTAGCGGGTGTTGATTACATGTGGTGTTTACCTCTGGTCCGCCGGGCCCCGAGCACATTGATGCATTAGACGGATGCTGTGACATCGCTGCTTGTGACGGATACAGAAACTCAAAAGAAACGCATCTTCCCCACACATGGTGCAATAGCTGCAACATATGACGGGGGGAAAAAAAAGTTCTATGAGAGATTCAAACTCACCCCGTCTCCCCTCCCTCCCCCTCTGAGGGGAATTAATTCCTACGCCGACCTCCGGCCTTCGCCACTGAAGGTTCCTGTGTGCATTAAAAGGGGATAAACCGTCTATTAGTCCCGGGATCATGCTGAGGAACGAGGGGGTGGATCACGCAGTCCGACACGGATTTTCAGCACTTAAAAACAAAGATTAAAAGCCGCCAGGCCAACAAAATAAATAAATAATAACAATCACATGGCTCACTGGGCCTCACTCTCAACAGCTAGTTGTGCTTGAATAAGAACCGTGACAAGCTGCTGAGGGCCAGAAAGCGGCGGGGACACAGACGTGGAACCTTCACACACAAAACAATCAAGGGGCCTCGGAACCGTCGAGTGAACAAACGCACATAACCGCCTTAAAATCAAGCGCCCCGTCGCCGTGAACAGCGGCAGAGGTGAACCGAACGGTGGCTTAGTCGCCGCCGTCGAACACTTTGACGTATTAAAAGCCCGCAGGCGACGCGCACGAGCGCGTAAGTAATCGCCCGCTCTCGCTGTTTGTTGTCGCCACCGGGAGCGCCGCGCGGGGCGGCCGCGCGGGGCGGCGCTCCCCATTGGCCAGCGCGCCGGTGCTCTTTTTTTTTTTTTAGGAGCCTGAGCACATTAGACAGCTAATCTGTCCGCACGGGGAAAGGACCCGGCGGAATATGGATGGACCGGCACCGGTTTAAAAGAAAACACCGGCCAGCCGGCGGCTCCCTCGTGGTTTTTAGAAAACCAACTTCCTCCCAATGCAGTTGCTCCAGCGTGCGGGTCAAAGCTGACGTTAATCGTGGGGCGTGTGTCACGGTGGAGTGGACGGAAACACTTGAGGGTGGAGAGAACCCACGTGCCCTCCTGCACAGTGCATGCGGTTTGCCTGTGCACGCGCACAACAAACACAAAAGAACACTGCACACATATTCAAAGCCCCCCCCCCTCACTCCCTGCAACAACAGCCCAAATAAACAAGCCAATGCACACCCGGCGAACTGAAACAAACTGAACGCACTGTTCACACATGACGACAAGCCGCGCTCCAGTTGCACCGAGGACCCACGCGCGACTCTCAGCGGGCGACACTTACTGACAGTCACTGGAACGTGCATTACCTCAGGAGCAAAACGACGCCTCGTCCCTCAGCAACAAGCAGCAGGCAGGTTCATGGTGTAATTGGCAAAGGGGCAGAGAAGGGGATGAAGAAGAAGGGGGTGATGAAAGCAGCGAGAGGGAGAGAGAGAGAGAGAGAGAGAAGCTGGCCGGTCACTGCAGTATTCCTCTATTTCTACCCCTCCTCTTCTTCGCTCTTTAAATGTCCTGCCTTGCCCCGGCAGTTCAGGAGATCCTCACATGCGTGCATCCCGATCGTCCCCCCTCTCCCTCTCCGTCTGCGTGTGCTGGAGCCTGAGCGAGAGCACAAGAGTGTGTGTGTGTGTGTGCGTGTGTTTAAGAGAGAGACAGAGAGAGAGAGAGAGAGAGAGAGAGAGAGAGGGGAGGGAGGGAGGGAGGGAGATGCTGTGCAATGGAGAGCAGATCAAGTTGAAAAGGGGGAGGGATGAAGGAATTAGAGAGAGTATAAAGAGGAAAATAGAGGGAGGAGAAAGTCAGTGTGTGTGCGTGTGTGTGTGTGCGTGCGTGCGTGCGTGCGTGCGTGCAGTGGATACACAACATAGAGGAAAGCAGGAACGAGAGACGCACACTGCAGCAGCGCCCACTGATGCTGAAAATGAGAAACATTTCATCAGGAGATATTGAAATGCTGATGTAAAAATAAGTTCCTGTTTTTGAGCACAGACACGGACGCAGGCGATGAATATATCACCGACTCTTTGGGGGAGCGACCTCAGAGGTAACGCGCCCCGATTGTAGATTCAAAGCGTATCCATCCTTTTGACATTACAATAAATGTGCTTTTTTTGTGCATGAGGATGGAACACGTGAACTCTATTTTGGTCTGCAGCGCCCCCCCCCCCTCCTCCCTCCCCTTGCCTCTGGAATCAGTCAAGCCCAAATGGCAAACTCAAACAAATTAACCTTTTTTGTGGAACAAAACAAATGAGATCCCAAAAGCCCCCGAGGAGGAAACTCCAGAAACGGCCACGAATGTGAACGCGTGCACACACACACACACACACACACACACACACACACACACACACACACACACACACACACACACACAGACGCACACAAGCAGATATCCCGCCTCTTTATGGCTTCTGAAAATATTTGAGGCGATTCAAATATTCCTCGTGCACCGAGAGGAGAAGAATATCCCCTTCAGGCCAAAAAAGATGAACTTGTGAGATCCCAAACTGCTTTTCCTCAGTGAATGCGGTAACCAAGGGAGACGGAGGTCGATCACCCGCGTGAGTGGCAGCGTGCTGATACCGACGTGAAAGCGTCCTGCCGGCCCACGGCCCTCCCCCCACACATTCCTGGAATACTTTCATAGCAGGAGCAGACGATGTACATCACGTCCCACCCTCCACCGTGTTGTGGCCGTATCCCACCCCACCCTGCCCCACCCGTCGACCCCGATTACAGCAAATGACCCACACTGTCCCACGAGCCGCTCCGGCCTTCTGTAATCTGTCATAAGATGGGGGGGGGGGGGGGGGGGGGCCCTTCCAAAAACTTCATTAATGTTACATTTTTAAAGAGCCGGCTCCCCCCCCCGGCTCACACACGGGACACGGGAGCGTTCTTTACCAAGGGGATGGATTGAAGCGCATGAAGGAGTGTTTGTGATGACGACGAGGTGCTCGTGTTAATCAAGTCTGTCTACTCCCACGCGGCCCCCCCCCCCAGCGGGGGGATCACTTCCTGTTTTGGTCTGCGGTTTTATTTACTTTTCAGATCAAGATCTTTGTCTTTAAATTAATATTCATTCTTCGTCCCATTATGTCCACCACGGCAAAAAAACACACACTGTGAGGCCGAGTGTAATTCAAACAAAATATCTTTAATAGATATAAACATTTTTTTTTACACATCACAGCTGAATGGAAAGGATCACATCCGTCACACGCGTTCATAATGGCGGCGCCAGAGGCCCGGGACTCACTCGTCTCACGTCCCCGCTGTCCATCTTTCATATAGCGCCTTTCATTCTCCACTGCGTCCCAGCCAGTAAAGATAAATATTCTTTTAAAATCAAGGATGAAGGTGCAAATTCGGATGAATATCAAACTCTCTTTATGTACAGTTGGCACGGTATCGGAGTACAAAAGGAACAGTTCGGGGGCTTAAATAAGGACTTTCTGCAGAACAAATCCAGCTCTGGTTTACAAGCAGGTTTACACACTACAGACAACTGTAGGTGACATTTTTAGGATTCACACATTATCTCACCGTGTAGTCGTATATTGAACAGTACCGATTTAGTGTCGAGAATAAGGACCAGATTGAGACGTTGAAGCATGCTGCGGATGGAGGGCATGTTGTCAGCAGGTGGCGCTGTCAATCAATCCACTGCATAAAGTGGGAGGACATTAAGTTTAAAACTCAGTTTGGAGTAAAAGTATCTACATATATATGTATAGACATATACATGTATGAATATATATTCTTATAGCGGCATCTGACCATTATTACTACATGCGGATCTCCGACTGCATTTGATTGTTTTTCTCTTTTCTTGGCCAACATCTTTGTCATAAATACTCTTCACACGCACATCGAGGGCAGAGGTGAGAAAATAGACATTAACATTATATATTTACAATAATCTGAATAAGTGACACCGAGGTGAACGTTATACAGTACATCAGTTAGTGACCAGTGGTCCATTTACACGTTGTCTCATTACAGTGTGATGCAGAGGGGCCTGTCTCGCCTGGTCTCTGAGAGACAGGGCGCCGTCCCACGTGGGAGGACGTCCGTCCCCCATCGTCTCGACCTTCCTTTCGGTTAGTAGTACAAAATGAACCGCTCACAACGCGCCGTCACTTGACTCTCACAGAGTGTGGAGCGCTACCAGAGAGAAGGAGGGGCTACTTTCATCATCTGAACTTGTGCCGGGGCTTTTTTAATTGGAAGGCTGTCGTCTCGTAATGAGGTTAGCTGGGGAGATAAATGGGAACGGTGGCTTTTTAAATTCCTCTCGGTTGTTACCGTCTCCGACATGCAACGACACAAAACATCATATTTATTCAGCGAGGAGGGGAAGGTCATGCTGGTCGAAACACACACACACACACACACAGTTTGACCCTTCCAAAGATCCACAAGGCTGTAGACGGATGACGCGTCGGTCCACGTTGGCACTGGTTTCTTGAGTAACTCTGTTGTGTGTGTGCGTGTGTTGTGTGTCTGTGACGTGCGGCGATGAACTCGAGCAGCGCTCAAAGCGTCAGTTCATGTCGATGGTGTTAAAGACCCACTCGGTGAACTTCTTGAGCTTGGCGGAGGCGCTGTACGACTCCTCCAGGAGCCGCTGGTTGTCCTCCCGGAGGCTCTGGATCTGAGCCTGCAGCGACGTCTTGGCGTCCCTCTCCTGGTGGGGACGGAGACGGGCGTGAGCAGCGATCTTAGGCTTCCACTCGCCTCAACAAACAGGCTTACGGACTTTAGTTCATTGGTTCCGGTGATTCAAAACAGCCTAGTTCTACAAATCCACGTCTGGAGAACAACGCTCACACAACGCTGGGACCTTCATCTGCTTCACATTAAGACCAGATTCAAGTGGATGCTTCTTACTTTTGTTCTATTTTAAGCTTGTTTATGTCTGTTTTTAATGTTTCTTTATTTCTTTGAATTTCATTTGGATGGTTTTGACACTTTATATGCCTTGTTATTGAAATGTGCTTTACAAATACGTTGACGATGCCTCACACTGAGTCCCATTTAAACGGACTTCTGATTCATCGCACCGCGAGTCAACGTGTCTCATTCTCGTGGAGAGATGACTCACTTTCTTTAAGTCTTCCTGCAGCACTTTGACCATGGACTCCAGCTGGCCGACCTTCCCCATCAGGCAGGCGGGAGTCTCTCTGAGAAGAAGGGACAAGCGGGACATTAGCTGGAACGAATACTGACACATCAAAGCGAGGCAGCGCCAAAAAGCGGCGCCACGATCCAAAGTTGCCCTTTCGACTCCTGTGGACGTTTACGTGTGGCTGATTTTATTGTTCGGCCTGCAGAGAACCCGAACGGGAGAGCGATTTGGAACATCAGCCGCTGCGGTGTCGCACTGGACTGAAATTTAAACCAGCGGATTAAAGCAAACGGCGGTGCCGAGGCGCCTTACCCAGGCGAGGGCTGTCTCAGCGGGGCCGCCTGAGGCTCGGCCTGCTGCGGACTGGTGGCTGCCGCGCACTCAGCCACAGCGCTCTCCGCCACAGCGCTCTCCTCTTGGGCTGCAAGGAAGACCAGCCGCTGCTCTGAATAACAAAAATAAATTTAAAAAAAGGACCGTCAGAAGACGCAGGGTTAGACCTGGAGGAGGATCGAAAACGGACTAACAGCGCCCTCTTCTGGTGGCAGCCGACATTAGAGCGCTCACCCTCAAAGGCCTTGGCGGCGTCCACCAGGTGGGCCCAGTCCAGCGGGCCGTCTGCCCCGGTGTCCGGCAGGGGCATGAGGGCGGCGTCCTGCAGCTGCTGCCTCTTCCTCTCCAGCTCCATCTCTGAGCTCTCCGGGGCCGACAGGTCTCCTGGGAGGGAAAACACGGCAAAGTAAGATCACAGACGGACAAACGGAGAGCGTTTGGCCGTTTTGGCCGAGGGTTTGGCAAAGTATGCGCCGTGGCGCCGGCTGCAGACCGGACACCCACCCAGGGACTTGTGTGACGCTCGCCGGCTCGGCCCGTGGCGAGCGGTGGGCGAGCGCGGCACGGTGGCGCAGCTGAACAGAAGATCGGTGGGCGTGTCCCGCTGTCCGTTGGTGGACGGCTCCCTCTGCCCGCTGTAGATGCTCTCGTCCGACAGCGTCCGCTGGAGGGAGCGGCGGGTGGGCGGCGGACCCGGAAACAACGGCTTCAGGGGGGGGGGAACGGACACAGGTGAAGGAAAATCGTTTTGAGGAATCGCTGTGCCGCCCATCGGGACGGCCAACTGCCCCGCGGCCGGCCTCAGTACCTTCTCTTCGCTGGTGGTGGGCGGCGGGCTGTCGAGCGTGATGAGCTTCTTCAAGTCCTCTTCCAGGCTGGACTTGGCGGCGTGCCGCTGCGGCGACTGGGAGCCCCGGAGGTTGGCCCGGAGCTGCGGCTGACCGCCCAGCAGGCCGTCACTCTGGTGCCGTCTGGGGACGGGAAGGCAGAAAGATTCAACACCTCTTCGATCCGATTAACACGCGGTACAGCGGGTCAGCAGCAGCGGAGGCTCAGGATTAAGAGGTGTGCAGTTAACATTCTGCAGGTAGATGTGAATCCGTGGAGGATTACGAGCAGGCTGGAGACACACAACCACTTGGCTGCTTCACACGGAAAATCCGTACGGGGAGAAAAACAGCAGCTGCATCAACCACAGATGATGCAATCGCCCTTTGAGCCAAACGCTGACACACACACACGCAATTATGTTTAGTCATCATTCTGTGGGAACCAAAGCACAGTTTCACAGTTTCAAACCCAGCAACGCCACATGGTGGCATTGTTAGCCGCCATTAAAAAAAAATATATATATATATTGTAATAATCGTTCCTTTGCTCAGTTCCCTCAAACATCAACACAAGACAACAGGGAATAAACGGCGCCGAAGGGGGACGTCTTACTTGCGAGTGCTGCCGAAGTCGACGGAGTTGACGGTCCCTCCGGGTTTCCGCCACCCGATCAGGTACTTGGAGGTGGCTCCCTGACGCGGGTAGAAGCTCTTGCTGCCTGGCGACGTGGGGGAGGTGGCCGCCTCGTCCTGCCCCTGGTCCATGGGGCTCCCTGAGCCGAGTGTGCTGGAGAAAAAGGGGGGAGGAGACATCCTGTTACACCAACATCAAAGACGGGACACTTTTGATTCATTTTGTTTAACGGAACATCGATGCACACCTGCAGTGGGAGGCGGCGTCACTCGGGCCGTAGGAGGCGCCATCGGGGAGCAGCGGAAAGGCTGACGGACTCCTCGCCGGGACTCCCTCGCCGCCCCCGACGGCGACGGCGAGGGAGTCCGGCTTGCCCGCCGCGTCCTCCCGCCCGTGGCTCTGGTCTCTGGCCCTGAAGGCGGCGGTGGAGGAGGCCGTGCTGCTCTGCGTGGCGGTGAAGGAGGCGGCGTCGATGCCGCTGTCGGCGGAGGCGCCCTGGAGGTAGCCGTTGAGCTCGAGGTCGCCGCCCGCTGCCGAGCGGGAGCCCACGTCGTACCACTTCTCGTCGCTGTGCGCGGAGCTGGAGGCGTTGCTGGAGAGGGTGTTGCTGCTGGACTGGCTGGACGAATACGGAGCGTCCGTCTGTTCGGGGACGAGAAATCCGGTCGGCGTTTACGGCGTTTTCACGGTTATTAAGAAATCAGCAGCTCACTCCACCTGAGCGCTCACCTTGGGGCTTTTGTTCGGAGACGGGTTACTGCCATGTTCTGATTGCAGCCTGGGAATCACGCCTTTGGCGTCTGCGGAAGGCAAAGACTTATGGGTACTGAGTTCTGCGGACGAGGGGTCACCTAATGTTTAAGGACCACAGCCGGTTCTTCTTACCTGCGCTGGTTTTGTCCCTCTCCCCAGTTCGGGACCATCCAACACCAGAGCTCGCCTTGTTCCCATTGAGCCCGTCACCTGCCAGCTGCCGCACTGACGTCACAGGGGACTGGCAGCTGTTGTAATTGAACCTAGACGGGAGGTGAAGAAAGGGTCACATATGTCGCCCAACTAAGCACATGGGCCAAACCGGGGGGGGGGGGGGGGGGCGCCCGCCACAAACAAACAGGATGGATCACACGTATCCGCCCCCACCTGCGTGGTGTGGAGTCCTCGTGCGGGGGGATGATGACCACCTTCACGGTGACGGAGGTGCGCAGCAGGTCGATCATCTGCTCGTGGGACAGCGAAGCCACCGACACCTTGCAGATCTCCACCAGGCGGCTGCCCTGCCGGAGCTCGGCGTGCCAGGCGTGGCCGTAGGGCTCCACCTCCGCGACGATGCCCTCGAAGTTGACGTGAAAGCCCAGCTGGCCCAAGGCGTTGCGGCGCAGGGTCATCTCCGTGGTCTGACTGCCCTTGGTCAGCAGCTACGGAGACATTTGTTATACCAAAGTGTCCTCTGCAGATAAAACCAACAAACCTTTAAAAGGCAACCACATCCGACACTACCTTTAATCCCGCCCCCAGCGGAGACAAGCGCACAAAATAAAAACAACATAAAAATGTTAGCAAATGACCTGCGACGGCTACAGCAGGTGGTTGCGGCTAATGAGCGGCGCCCCACTGACCTCCAGTCTCTTGACCACCTCGCCAAAGTCCTCCGTGTTGTTGTTGATGGAGCGCAGCGACACGCTCTCCCCGCGCTCGTAGTACACCTTCATGGAGGCGGGGCTCCCCGTCGACCAGCCGATCACGTCCCGCGTGGCGCAGTTGAACACGACCGCTTTGGCCTCCTGGTCCAGCAGGATGACGAAGTCGTTGGAGACGGCCAGCAGGCACTGGCGCTCGGCGCCGGCTACCTGGTCTTCGGCGTGCACCTGCCAGGTCACGGCCCCCAGGCTGCGCAGCTCGGCGCCGCTGTACGGCCGCGCCTTCTCCCGCCGCTTGTGCGCCAGAGAGATGAAGGGGAACTTCCCGGTGGGCTCCACCGGCGTGCTGGTCACGTGGCGCTCGGCCAGTTCGCGAAGGTACTCCTGCCGGGTGCGGGTTGCCATGGCGCCAAACTTATCCGACTTGTGCGCCGCGTTCTCGGCGTTGATGACTTTGCCCAACAGGAAGTCCCTGAAGACAGTGGACTTGGGGAAGGTCACGCCCTTGGGGATCGGGGGTCCGAAGGAGGGGACGTCCTGGGAACGAGTTACCGCCACACTGCAAGAGTGGAACAAGAGGGCAAACGGTTATAGTCATCGCTGTAGTAAGTGAACAAACATTTATAGGCCTTTGCAGGAGTGCACATTAAAAGCATGGTGTTGATTACTCCTGTCAATCAAATGGAAATATATCGGAGGACAAACGCATTCAAATAGGAGAATCCTAAAAGTGAACATTGCATTATAGGAGATCCACAGTCTGTGAGGACTGACAGCCCCGGGGCTTCGCATCATCACGCTGGAAACATCTTTGCACAGTTTCCCTCGAAGGTATTGTTGCCTCCGACCTGTTCCACTTGGGAGAGTAGCTGCCTCTGCTGCTCGAATTCCATTTGCACACGACGACTCTCCTTCCGTTGGACGGTCGTGTCATCGTCGTTGTTTACAAAGATCAGAAAACTGGGTTTTTAAACCACACTGGGATTCATTTACTATGGAGACGACATGCTGCATAAATAGAGGCTATACATGTGCAGATACAGTCAGCAGTGCAAACACTGACCATTAACGCGTGAACAAGCTGATGGGACAGTCCGGACAAATCCCCATCCTCTCCATTCAAGTGGATAACAAGTCGTAGCCTTCAGCAGAAAAGTCACAAACTGCGCCTGACCGCACGCGGCGTGCAACTACTACAAACATTCAATCACAGTCGACAAGGCGACGCCCAGCGCCGGCACCCTGCCGCTCTCTGCTGCATCGCGGGGATGGGAGGCGATGCTGCGTCTAAAGCCGGCCGGCACACAACGGCCTACATTCCCTAAACAAAAGGGGCGGTTATGCAATCCGCCTCGCTGGCCCCGCGTGACTTCCAGGCAGCGGTTGAAAGCAGCAGATTAGCACCCCGCTGGCCCCGGGCCACCTACTCCTCTAATGCTCCGGTCTGGCTCGACGTGACCCGAGCATTACCCAAAACGCAGCAGCAGCAGCAGCAGCAGCAGCAGGCAACAACAGGCTATTAATAACTAAATGAGTCAAAGCGACCTAATATATCTGTGCCTCCTAATTTCTATTAATAAAAGATACTCCGCAGTCACTGTATATGAAGACGCAGATGAAACAGGGCAGATTCGAGCCAGTATTTGGGCGTTCAACAACTTTGTGTGTTTGGGAACGTGGATCGATCGGAAACCATGCGAGTCGCCGCAAAGTCAAACAACTGCACGAATCGCTCGCCGTGGGTTTCAAACAAAACCGGCTCAAGATCAACACAAACCCCCGGCAGGGTACAACTTACCTCTCGGGTCACCCAAAGGCAACCATGTTCTTACTGAGAATCGCTGCTCAATATCCTGAATTCTCTTCTGCGGCTACAATCCCACACACAAAGTATTCCACTCGGCACAGTGCAGCACGCCGCTGTGTCCCGCGTTCTCTTGTGTGGATGCAGAATTATTTCCAGACCGTCGGGGGAAAGGAATCCATGAAAGGAGAGAGCGAAAGTCTTCGATGCGAGGGACAGGAGGAGAAGCCCAAAAGCTCGTGTGGGTTTCTCCGGGTGGGGTAAGTGGTCCTCAGGGATTCGGTGTCTCGCGCCTCTCCATTTCATCCAAAAAGCAACCCGGGGGGAGCTGTCGGTTCACCCGTTCTCCTCTCCGTAAACCAGAATCACGGTGTCCACTGGTTGGAAAGAAGGGCTCCGAATAAATCAGCTCAGATTTGACGCGGGTGCGAGCTGAGGGACAGAAGGCCGGCTCGACCCGTCCACTCCCGAGACGGACTCTGTGAGCTCTGAGGGACTCGGCTCCCGACAATCCGCCCCGCTCACATGCATGTCCGGGGCGAAGAGAGCACTTCATGCGCATGGCGCTAACTCCTTCAGACCATTCCGGCTCACGCTGCCCAAAGGCAAAGTGGCAGGCAGGGAGGCAGGGAGGGAGGGAAGAGAAGAAGGGGGAGGCTTGTATTGTATATGGGTGTGTGAAGAGTGAGCCTTTCTGGGAATTTGTGTGCGTGGGGGGGAAAAAGTGCGTGCATGTGTGTGTGTGTGCAACCGTGTGCAAGTGGGCACGAGAACGAGGTAAAAACGAGAAACAGGAGCGAGAGAGGGAGCGACTGTGTGTGTGCTTCATATGCATGCATGCATGTGTGTGTGTGTGTGTGTGTGTGTGTGTGTGTGTTTGTGTTGGTTTAGGAATGCATGAGTGCAAACGCCACAGAGTTGCACTGTAATCATCACAAGACTCAGCCAGCGGAGAAGAAGGCGAGGAGGAGGAGGAGGAGGAGGAGGAGGAGGACTCCTATCAGCTGGACAGCTACTGCAGGGCCAATCTATTCAATTTGATCCTTCTCTCATAATTTATACTGATGGAGACATGCCGTAAACGTGACCATGCACAATTGGGAGCGACAAGACAGTCACGCAACAAGCTTTCATGTTTGACCCGTGCCTTCCAGTCGTCGCGTTTGTCTCAATGCCATTGTAGCACTGAAAGTGGTGTAGAGCTTCCACACAAAAAGGCCCCGTACTGCACTGAGAGGGCAGTTAAAAACACAGTTTGACCCACTTTAAAAAGGCCCAGGTTTGTAGATAGTTATTCATTAATTCATACGCGGCATCCTTATGTCGTTTTAAATTTCTTAATGATTGTTTCATATTTAAAAGAGTTTTAACTTGATCTCAGAGTGAAACAGTTTCATACATACATACATGGGTAAATACCACATCGTGACACATTTACAGTACACCTCAAATGAGCTGTTGAAAAAAGAACAGATGAAAATCCCACCTGTAGCATGTGTTGTCAGAGCACGGGTCGTGCACCCTCACAACGATGAAGACATGTTGGAAGTGAGAGCGAATGGTCTTCGGGGTGAAGGGGTGAGCGCCGGGCTCCTGGAACACGATGGTCACAATGTCGTTCCCTATGTGGCGCTTCCTCAGCAGCTAGTCATTGGAAAACAACACAGTCCTAGTTAGAGAAGTCTAGAGGGGAAGGGGCTTGAATACGGAAGCGAAGTCGCAACAATCCTGTGGTGCATTTAATTATATGGAAACAAAAGTCAAATGTTCCTCTAAATGAGAAGAGCTTTGTTTTCTCTACCTGTTGTTTGTTGTTGGGTGTGTGAGGCAGCAGAGTCGACACATGGAACATGATCTCATAGTCCTTGTAAGTCGTGTACAGAGAGTGGGTGCCCGTGGAATCCGCTGCAGGGGAAAATAGCAATGCAGTGTTGACACAAATTGCACATGTGTATTTTGTGCAAGACAGGATGCAAAACAGCTACACAACCTGTGGATTGATATATTGAAGAAATCCTGAAAATATTTGATTAAGAAATCTCATGAAAATTAGTCCAAAAATAACAAGGTCGAAATGGAAAGAAAAGTCAAAATATTCAAGATTGTAAATTTAATGGAAAAAAAGTCAAAATATTTTAAGCCCGAAAATGATAATCAATAATCAAAAAACGTTATTAGATAGTATTAGATTAAAAAATGTCAGAAAAAATAATGAAAAAAATCTCAAAAGTATTAGGTTTAAATATGTCATGGAAAGAAGTTTAAAAGTTTAAGGTAAAAAAAAAAAAAATCAAAATATATTGGGTCGAGAAATGAGATGTAAAAAAAGGCATAAAGGCCGTAAAATGACATGAAAGAAATTCAAAAAAATATCAGATTGAAAAATGTCATCCATTTTTCGTAGGAACAATGCAATGAATCAGAATTCAACATTTTTTCAAATATTTACCAAAATGTTTGTTTGAATTAAGTCATATTTCTTAGTTAATTAGGTTAAGATTGAATGACAGCATATCTACGCCCTTTGCAGAGAGCACACCAGAAAGAAAAGGATGCATGGGGAGAGAAAAAAACAGTAAAGCAGACAATGCTGTTGGGAAAACAAACAAATAATTGTGATAGGAAGATATTTGACTAACAGTAACATAAAAGGAGGTTCGGTTGACAGAGTTTAGCGTAACATGAAACTAACTTGCAGCAGGACTTGCTGCTGGTAATTAAAAAGCTGAAGTCACTGGTTCAGTTTCATTTGTGACCAAAAAGTGTGTGTGTGTGTGTGTGTGTGTGTGTGAGATCTAGAGGTGTGTTGTTACTTTTGGTATCCAGCTGGGCTCTGTACTTGGTGAAGCCCTTGAGGCGAACTGTCTCCCCCAACAGTTGTAGGAACTCCTCCAGGGCGGGACCGGCCGTCTCGTTGTTGTACATCTCCTCCTCTGTGCTCTGGCCCGCTCTGCAGTACATCACCCCCACCTTCACCTGGAAACTCAGCTGGGGGGGGCAGCAACCAAGCAAACGGGACCAGAACAGAGCTCAACGTAAGAAATAACAAAAAATGATCCTTCTGTAAAAATCCAAGAAAAGCAATTGTTGGAAAAAGTTCAGATTTCAGTGAAAATCTGCTCCATCTTCCCACCCCTTGTTCGTCCAGTTTCATCAGCTGCTCGGTGACTTTGGGCGTGTTGAGGGCCAGTCTCAGACAGGACAGATCCAGCTCGGGCAGAACGTACTCCAGAACCTCCTTGACGGGCAGCCCGCGCGTGGTGCCGTGCTTGGAGGTGGAGGGCACCGCGTCCTCCAGGACAGAACCTCGAAGCGTGGTCAGCTGGATGGAGGGAGACGGAGGGGATTACGGAGACGAGTTTGAGAAGAGAAAGAACTGATGGAAAGAGCTGCCGCTTTTTTTTTTGAAGTTGCCATGAAACAGCAAGACAGTTAACGACTCAAGCCGTTAGGTAAATGGAAAGTGGACCTGAGGAGGAAGAGGTGGGAGGGAATTCTGTCCTCACAAAGTCTGCATTGTGCCGGACTGTGGGAGTGAACTCGAATCACCCAGCGAGCATCAGCAGCTGGAGGGGGCCGAGCCCATCTCTGCTACGAGCTGCTTTTACAATCGACCTGTGTTCCCCATGTTTGGAAGGTAGGACAGGGAGGTGGGCCAAACATCCCCGGGCAGGTGCCTTTACCGCCCCACCCCCACCCTGTCTGAGAGTCCCAAACGCAGGACGCTGGGAGAGACGGCCTATTTTCACTGAAACACTCACAGAGCGGTTAAAGCGGTTTGAGGCTGTTGGGCCCTGACAGCCCTCGAAGATGAGTGCACTTCGTCACGTCCCCCCACACATTGCTGATATTAGGAGACGGCTGAATGGTCCCGGCGCTGGTTACGTAACGAGGAACAGGGGACTGAGGCGGACTTGGCCTCGGGCCGGCCTGCCTTGTATGTGAGGCAGGCGAACTACACACACACGCATGCATCGATAGCAACTTTCTTTGCCGATTCCATTTTTCTCTTTAAAAACTATAATTAACAGCATTTACTAAAGTTATTGTAACTTTTCTCTAATAGAAAAGGTGATTTGATGTTTATAAATGATGAACGGGAATCAACAAAAGGATAAAAGACCAAAATGTTGAGTTTGGGCTGCAGGAAGGATGGGAGACCACGGCTGACCTCGCTGGTTCTGAAGATCAGACGGTAGTTGTACTGCTGGCCGTGCTCCTTTTCATCCTCCAGCTTCTCCCTGCGCAGGCTCACCGCCACCGGCCCGAGCGCCTCGTCCATCCCAAAGTAGTTCCAGTGCTCTGAGGCGGAGGAAGCGGCAGATGAACGGGCGAAAAAGGACAAAAAGACAACACGGAATTCCCGCGTGGGGTTGAGGACATGATGAAAAAGCAGTAAACGGGCCCTTACCCCTCAGGTAGAAGAACTTCCTGTAGTAGTAGGCCCCCAGGTCCACGTGCTCCACGATGTACTGCTTGCCCTTTTCGCTGAGCGTGCTGGGCCCTTCCTTTGGTCCCTCCAGCACCGCCACCCCGGCGTTGGTGCAGTGCGTGCTCGCTGACGTCTCATACAGGTTCCCCTCCCCGCTCAGGGTCCCCGAGCCGTTGTGAACGGCTCCGTACGCCGCCGCCGCCGCCGCCGCCCCGCCCGCCAGCGGCCTGCGCCTCCCGTTGCCGTCGGCGCCTATCTCGTTGCGGAAGCAGGGGCAGCCGAGCAGCATTTCGTTGCTCGGTTCGTCCCCGGCGTCCAGGCCGGGACTGTCCCGGGAGCTGAGGTCCTCCTGGCTCCCCCCGGGGGAGCTGTACGGCAGGCTGTGCGTGGACGAGAGGGTGGAGGTGGCCGAGGCCACGGCGGCCGCGGACGCCCCCGTGGTGGTGTTTTTCCTCTTTCCCGCGATCTGCCGCAGCTGGGTGACTTCGTTGAGGTCAAACAGCATGCTTTGGACGTCGTAGTGGGCGAAGCTTTTCTGACACACCCAGGGCTTGAAAGGGGGGCCCGCGTCCTCCGCCCGGCTGTCCTCTACGTCGGACCCCGCTCTGGGGGAGTCGGAATCGCCCCGCGCGCTCCGAAGTTTCCGGAATATCGACTCCCCCCCAGTCTCTGATTTAGCTCTTCTCTTCGGGGTCTTGTCCCTGGCTTTAGGAGCCGGGGCGTCGTCGTCCTCCCGCGGATCGACGCCGACGCCGGCCTGCTTGGGCCCGACGGCCAGCATGTCCTCCAGCTTCTGTGGAGCGGGGCTGCGCTGGTCCACCTGGTCCACCTGGTCCCCTTGGTAGGCCCGGAGCATTTCGAAGAAGCTCTCTCCAGCTGCTGCGTGCTGATCAATCGATGAAGTGCTGCCGTACTCGCGGTGGAGCGGCGACCACTTGGCCCCCGGCGCCGGGGCCCAGTCCTCTCCGCTGTCTCCGCTGCCTTCCATCTCGCCGGCGGTCATATCGCTGTTGCTGCGCTGGCGGATGCGCCTCTGCCGCGGGTTCCTGTGCGCGGGGCCTCGGCGATCCGCCGGGGCCAGGTGCCGGGCGTCGGCGCTGTAGTTGTTGGCGTGGGCCTGGGTCCGGTTCTTCAAGGTGTTGTGGATGTTACGCAGCATCGACGAGTCCTGAGGGTTCATCACGGAGCCCAGCTTGATGTGGCTTTTGCTGGCGGGCGGCGCGGCAGAGGCCTCGGCCCACAAGACCCCCGCCATGTCTTTTCTCGGGGGCCACTCGGCCACCCGAGCCCGCACGCCCATCTTGGGCACCCCGGTGCTCGCGGCGGCGTGGCCGCCGGGCGCGGCCCCTCCGTTGGCCATACGGAGGTGGCGGCTGTAAAACTCCGAACCCCCGGCCGTGCGCTCCATCGGCGGACTCTTCAGGCTGGTCATGGCACCAGTGCAGGAGGCTAAAGGCGCTCAGCGGGGGAACATGGATGCCTGTGGGATGGGAAGCTGCTCCCCGACTTCATGTGCAGGTCATATTGTGTGGATGGAGGCAGGAAATAAGAGCGTGCGGGAGGAAAACCCGCCTCCCCGGCGTTCAGGCCTTCATGCTGCTTCCTGTGTCGACGCGGTCACCACGCGGGTCCTTCTCCGAACTGTCCCGAAAAGAAAAGAAAAAATGATCAGGGTGTGGAGGGAAAATAATCACAAATACATCCGTTTCCTGACTAACGTTACTTTCCTTCACCGGCAACGAGCGATCTGGATGTATCAAGTATTAAATTAAATTGCTGAAATAGTAAGTATTGAGAAACAAGATGAGTGTATCTGATTGGCTGTGATCAGAGATTAGTTGGTGTTCTTACAATAGGACAATATATATACTGAAGTAAAAAAGTCACTGACTCTTGTGACTTGACTGACGTCTCTACGCTCGCCCCTCCAGCAGGAAACGTTGGTCGATTGTGATGCAGAGCCGCAGTTTTTTTTTTTTTTCAGTGATCGAATATCCCGAGCAACACATCAAAAAGCAAAAGGGGCTCTTTGAAAGTGGCCAACGATCCTCCGCCTGACAAATTGGGCCAATTTAACAGTGAGACACTGGGAGAGGTTACGGCTCCGCTTGCTGTGATCACATTAGCCACCAGCCAACTGTGCTGTGTGACGGACCCACGGCGCCGCCTCCTCCACGCGCCAACCCGACAGCACCGCCCGCCTTATGTTAACGCACACACGTGCATGTAGTGAACGCATGCAAATAGCAAATGAATAAATGATTTACTATTCTTCAAAAAGGTCTACGTGCAAATTACACCATAGACCGGTAGAGGAGGACTTTTATTTTGAAAAGGTAAATGGAATATATATATTTATTATCACAATGGGAGATGGCTTGTGTGTCCCCAAGACAATGCAGTTTGTTTCATAATTCAAACATTGTTTTAGTAAAATCTCAAGGCTCTGGAGATGATTCGGTTGTCAGAGCGCCCGAGGCGGAGCATCCCCCCCCCCTCCCCCTTACAAACATTGTGCCCTTTCTGCTGCAGAGACTTCAAAGTGGCAAAATAGAAAATATGCTTTTATATTTGACGGTTCTTTACTTCTTTGAACCACAAACATAAAACTGTAATGAAGAGGGCGACCAAGCAAGAAATCCCTTTTAGGAGGTTTACCGTGGAAACTCAGAGCAAAGAGCAGCAAATTAAAATGTTCAGATTCAAACCAGAGCGGTCAAACCCTCGTGGTTACGTGACACGAGAGATCTGCAGCCAGAAACTCAAATAACACGAAAAGAAAAAGATCTTACATCCGTCGCATAGGGAAGGTTCCCCACTATAACTTCCTCTAATGAATGGCCACCAATTATTTGGGGCACAGATTAAAACTCATTAATGAATCCCCCGAAAAAGAGTTGCGTCCTACTGACACACACACACACACACACACAAAACGAGCTCTCACACACTTCCTAGAAAGCGGCTCGCTGGAGGAAACACAGGCGGTCGCGTCAGAAGGACGGAATACGGCATTGGGCTGCGTGGCGGGAGGCGCCCCCACCAAGGCGCCCCCCTCTTCATTAGACGGCCGTTTTGTTCTCGTTGGACAACTGAGATTCATTTCGTAAGTTAGTTCCTGCTGAATGATTCATTCCTCGTCCATATACAAAGAGGAGTTATTCTTTGGGGAGGTTCGGTTGATAAATTGATAAATTCGTATGAGGGCTTGTGAGACAAATCGCTTTAGTTAAGGACGGCCGCCACATGACGCCTCTTCCAAAACCTTCCTGCCGTCCCTTACCCGCTCCCTGCTGAACCAAGCGGTGCTTTTTTTTCCCCACAGCTCTATGGGGCACGTCCAGACAGCCTGATCCCGTTGACTAAATTAGATCAGCGTCTTGTAATCGGGTCTCTGACATCCCGGATTGGTCCGTCAGGTGAGCGGAGACGCAGGCGAAGCGTTAGTGACGTCACGTCACACCTCCGAGGTGCTACAACTTGTTGTTTGGGTCCATGGGGCGACAAGTCCGCACGCAAAGGAGCGTCCTCTGATGTAAAGTGTGACTCAGACGTACCACATGGAATAACAGGCAGCAGTCAGTCAGCACAACTGTGACGATGAGTCAAACCGGGGTCTCAGTTTCTCTGATCTGACGCACAAATATCCGAGCGAGGGCCTGAGTCACCGCTCAAAGACGGCGCCCCCTGGAGGTGAAAGACTCCTCCTGGTCCCGCGTCTATCAAACAAGAGAGGGAATGAAGTCCCAGTGGACTGGGCAAGTGTTACAGAGCGGAGACAAAGGAGCCAAAGCATCGCGCTACAAGCTTGTAATTACTGCGCGCTTGAACGGGGCTAAAGGGGGTCGTTTGGCTGACACCCCACCATTTAGCCTGTTGGCTCACCCCCAACCCCTCCCCCGTCTCCCAGTCTTCTTCCTGCTCTAAGGCCTGACTGGGCTGTTGGGCAGCAGGCACAAAAGGTCCCTCTGTCCCGGGCAAAGCCGGGGGGCCCCTTTCCAACGGAGTGAAGTCTTTGAAAGTGGCCTGGCTGGGGGGGGGGGGGGGGACCTCACTGTGGCTGCGTACATGAGGCCTGCCGGGAAACAGTAGAGGTGGGGTTTAAAAACACTGAACAAGGATTTGGAAACGATCAGAGATTCAAAAGAATTAGAAGGATGCGTTGGCGGCGAGAAGAGGCAAGAAGGCTGTGAGAGTGTGACACATACGCACCGACAGATGACTGAGATTTGGGGTAAGAACCCCGATGAACGCATCAGGATACAGTTACTCCTCCAGACGGAGCGACGCGCCGGACAGAGAGAACGGAGACTTCAGGAGGCGAACCATTCGGCGGCGGCGGCAGCAATAAATCCACCGCCACACCGGCACTTCCTGTCGAGGACGTCGCTTTCAGCCCGCGAGAGACAAACTGAGGTCGCCGCACATCCACCGAGGTGCGCCGATTGAACCCGTGGCTTACAGCAGGCGCACGGGAAGTTTAAATGAAGTGTTTATTTTCTGGTTGCTGGGTTCCTCTCCTGCTGGCTGTGCATTCGGCTACGAACCCGAGCAGGAACGAGGAAAACAGCCGAGCCCGCTGGCAGACAAACGACACCAGGCATCACGCAACCGCCGGCCGACATCCTGGAATTCCACCAATGTCAGAGGAGGAAGTGATGAACGGCAGCCGGAGCGGGGGGGGGAGGGGGGGGGGGGGTTGTGCCTGTTTGGGCAAATTCTTTAGAGCAAAGTGCAACACTGCTCGTCACCGTCAGTTCCACAACACAAGTCTGCCATCGCTTTACCGCTGCAGTCTTCTCAACTTTGCAGCAGAGTTGTGATCTGTGAAAATATCAGCAACTAAAACGGTGGCTGAAGCGGCAAAATTGTCCAATCGACCACACACACACACACACACACACACACACACACACACACAGGAAAGGCAGACCCCTGCATGTAGTTGGACCACTTGAGAAACCGGAGGCGGTGAATCCACATCCATCAACGTCCATTGTTTTGGGATGGGTTGCCCGGCCCCCCCCCCCCGTCTCCAGGCCTCCTCGCTATCAGCGCGGTGAGTAATGGGCACAGCGAACCGCTGGCAAAGTGAATTTCACTCACTGCCTCGCACGAGAAGACGGGTCCGGGGGAGCGACAGGATATATTCATTGCCGTTATTTCCAGCAGCGTGTCCTCGATGCTTCTCCTCTTCTTATCCACAGAGAGCTCCCCCCCCCCCGGGAGGGAGGTGGGTGAGAGCGCTGGATAAATGGACCCTTGAAACACTCGACGGTGTTTATAGTGAGAAATGGGAACCCCAGTGCCGTTTCCAATGTTGTTATCTGGGTGGGCCGGGAGTTGAACAAAGACAGTCCTTGTCCCGACTCCTGGAGGGTCATTTGCCTCGAAATGAAAGCTGATCACACTGCTAACGGCTTGTGTGGTCTGCTTGTCCACGGAAAAGAAGTTTAAATCTAACTGTCTAACAGAAGAGAACGTCGGACTTTATATTTTAGCTGATTAAGTTCAAGAACAGAAACTTTAAGACTGCATGTTCCATAAGTACGTTCACGTACAAAGACCGAGCTTTGGTTTAGTGAAGTGGTTTTATTTCTGACTTGTGTCCGATGAGGAGGTTGAGACGTGGCCCCGTCAGCCTTTCAAAGGCTGCGCTGTGAAGAGAAATGGGGAGGAAGTAGTCTGCTGCTGCCTGGGGAGGAATGTCAAAAATTCGGACGAGGCTGCTGCCTGGATGCCACGGCGGTTTGGGAGCGGAGGTTTAAAAGGGGAGGTCCGCTGCGGGCGGCACTTTCCATCTCCCCGCCCCACAAGACTCCATTAGAGAGCCAGTGAGCTCTCCTGCACACGGACAGGTACACGCAGAGAGAAAAAGGCTCTCACACACCGAGACAAACCAGGAAAATGAGAAAATAAAAACTGATTCTGTTGAAGAACTCAAAGATTAAACCCACGGGACGACAGCTGTACGGAAAAAGAAAACTCAAACTGCTTTCTGTTCCCGCAAACATCAAAGACAGCTCTTCTGTCCCGTGCTGCCTCGTAGAGACGCTATTTCTGTAATACGCGTCTCAAAGATGATCTTTTCTCATTTTGAAATTCAGATCAAAACAATCTCCCCAAACGGTCTTCTGACCTCCCTTATTGCAATAACAATTAAATAATATATATATATTACGATGTCTAGTATTAATGTTTCCAGTTGGATTGAGTGCAATAATGTGCCCCAGTGTTTGCAGATGGGAGGCCAGAGACGGATTATTGTATATTCTCGTTGCCAAATAGACAGAAGATCGAGGTTTTGATTTGTTGACCTCTCAGACACAACTTTTGCTCTTCTTAATCTTTTTATAAAAGGTGATGAAGAGCTAAACAAATCCCCAAAAAGCTGCGAGTACCCATGTTTAATGAACGGACTGTAACATTTTGGGGAATTGCCTTTCCTGTTTGTATTCCAACAACTTGGAATACTTGCATATTGTAGTGAAAATGCAGCTGCTGTTGACGTTTGACTACATCTTGCATTGCCCAAGTGTGCAACCGGGCCACTTATGCATCGGGAGCATTTCCCAGCAGCGTTTGGCCGTGTGGGCCAAGGAGGTGTTTATATCGTCCTCGCGTTTCGCCCGAGGAAAAAA